CCTGCCAGCTGTTTATATTTCTCTATGGGAGACCTGCCAGCTGTTTATACTTCTCTATGGGAGACCTACCGCCTGTTTATACAGTACTTCTCTATATGAGACCTACCAACTGTTAATACAGTACTTCTCTATAGGAGACCTACCAGCTGTTAATACAGTACTTCTCTGTAGGAGACCTGCCAGCTGTTAATACAGCACTTCTCTATAGAGACCTACCAGCTGTTTATACTTCTCTATGGGAGACCTGCCAGCTGTTAATACAGTACTTCTCTATGGGAGACCTGCCAGCTGTTAATACAGTACTTCTCTATGGGAGACCTGCCAGCTGTTTATACTTCTCTATGGGAGACCTGCCAGCTGTTTATACTTCTCTATGGGAGACCTGCCAGCTGTTTATACTTCTCTATGGGAGACCTGCCAGCTGTTTATACTTCTCTATAGGAGACCTACCGGCTGTGCTTCAATTGACTATTATCTAACAAGTGAGAGAGCAGCAGGACAGAGACAGACCACTTCTACCTCCTTTGCTTTGGTATGCTAAGTGTTGCCTATCCAACCAAGTAGAATACAGGGAGCTGTGTCTCCAAGTGGTTCTATTTGTGGTATATTTCAATGGGGAGACATTTACTGTGTTAGCAGAAGGAAACCCCAGACAAATGTAAGGGTGTTGTTTGATTAGCCCCAGAACCCATTGACATGCCACTTCCAAAGGTCGTGTTAGAGACTCCTTTAAGACTGCTTCAAAATACACTGCTGCACACGCCAGGGAGATGGCTGGGAAAATCACTAAGGCCATAAAAAACAATGGTGTAGAGGCGAAGTGCAATGCTGTTTCATTGTACAAAGCAAAGCAGTCATGTGTATACAGACGAAGTGGGGGCTTGCTAAGTGTATGCGTGTGTGTGTGTGTGTGTGTGTGTGTGTGTGTGTGTGTGTGTGTGTCTGTGTGTGTGTGCGTGCGTGTGTGTGTGAGAGGGATAAATCCCCTCCATATTTCATGCTTGTCACTGATATCCAGATTAAGTTACACGGCTGAGGAAATACCAAAATAATGAATAAACGATGGAGCATTAGACTGAGACAGACCCTGAGACTATCAGGACAATCAGGCGCACATTTCCTTTCCAAAACACAGAAAGCCTCCGATATCCCAGAGAAACCAGCCGAGAGAGTCTTGTTTTCCTGAGCTTAGCAGCGGGACTTCTATGTTTCATGAGGAAGATTGAAGGGTTTCTCTCCCTGGGACATCCAGCCAGAGGCCTGTAATTACAATCAAGCCTGCTAATGACAGCTAGAGCAACAGTCTTCACAATATTTTCTTCACAATAATTTCTCTACTCTCTGTTATTGTAATAATGGTGAATTAGTAATGGTTCTTCACATCATTGTATCGTCGTAGAGTAGGGCTCCCCAACTGGAGGCCCGTGGGTGGTTTTATTTGACCCCCCAAGTTTTCTGAGGGTTTTTGTTTTTTATGAAACTTTTTGAGAATCTTTTTTAGATTTTTTTATTTTTCATTGTTGGACTTAAAAGAACGTTAAAACACCAGGAAATCAGCTCCAAGACGTTTTTATTTTAGAAATCTGTTCCCAAGTATTCCCATGCATAATAGAGAGACACGTGATCGTATACAAATGTAAGCAAGGTTTGAAATGATTATGTTTTAGTCAAACATTATATCTGTTTGAGCTTCTTGCGGTCTACAAATTATTTGTGAATATGTTCCAGCCCCCCGACCATCCACTCAAGAGAAAATCGTCCCGCGGCTGAATCTAGTTGATGACCCCTGTTGTAGAGTACGTACACAGAGCTGGCTTCTCAATAAGCAGGCACTGGGGACCAATGGCGTCATGCTCAGCGGAACAGAAGAGGGCACAGGCCCCCCTAATTTAAACCATTATTTGTACTGAATTATTTTTAAGGCATTGAATATGTAGAAAGTAGAGCCCCCACACGCAGATACTCCAACAAAACATTGAAGGTTCCAACCCATACCAACGTTTTGAGCCTGATATTACCTGCGCAGTACCCGAAAAGACATGTGCTTTTGATCTCATATGTTAAAGACATTGAGTATGGCCATCCGTGTCCCCTAAAAGTGAACAGTATGTGCTGTGGAGACAACAGGGAGGTGATCCATCCACCTCTGTTCTGTACTGTCTACTTTTGACCCCAGGGTCACTGCCCAAGGATTGAGCATCAGCTTACTTTCTCTGTGTTTCACAGCACAGACCAGCGCTTCGGAGCGAAGAGGAACCCTTTAACACGTTACGGAAAAAAAGTATGTGATATATGAACGTTACTCTTTCTGCAATGTCAATCATTTGGGCATAAGTGCCCATTCCCCCCCCCCCCCCCTCTCATCTCTCTGTTCCATATGCTGACCATAATTCACACTCAGTCTACCAATGACCTCTTTGTGAATGTACGTCCGTAGATGGGCTTGTGGAAAAGTATGATACACTTTCCAGTTTCACATGTAATGTTTCTCCCTGCGAGGATGTGTGCACAAAAGCGCTGGAGAACTGTAATGGTGTGCTGTACAGGGCTCCAACCCGTTAGGGAGCTGTGTTCAGGTGATAATGGTATGGAAAGCAAAACAATATTTTAAAGAAGGTAATGACTTGTGAGAGGGTTTTGTTACAATGTGAACTGTACAACAATATGGAGTCTTGCTTTGGTAGTCATCATATTTTCTCTAATTCAATAAATTTGTTCTCTCATATCGCTCACATTTTCATATCTATTTTAGTTCAAACGTTCAGGCAGCAATAGGACACCTCCTGGATACATGTTGCATTGTCGCAAGGAACCAATGTTCAGGAGTTACTCAAGATTTTCAAGTGAAAGTAGCCATTCCAGTTCATTGACAGCAGCGTTTTCTGTAGACAAAGCTTTGAGCTGTAAAGGTCATGTCTTGCAACTAGTTCAATGTTAAACAGCGCTACCTGCTGGTAATAGGACTGTACTACTAACAAAGAGAAGTCCTGTTGACCATCATAGTAAAAGTCAAAGCTTACTGCTGAACATTAAATCATGGTTTGTAACGGTTTGAAATATAGCCTGCCCCAGACTGTCAATACATGTAATGGTGGTGACTTACAAACAAAAAGGACACATGAGTAAAATCAACAAACTTTTGTTTTTATTTCTTTGGTGACTGAGAGCAGGTAAAACAGTCTTGTTTTCTTTAAACATTTCTTTCACAAACATCCCAGACTTTCACATTGTAAAATAAAAAGTTATACTGTAAATATAAAACGTTATTATGTGCACTTTAATGCTAAAACACAACAAACAAAACAAGACAAACAAAACAAGACAACAACTGCTGGATGACCGTCATCAATTGTGCAACACAAAATCTGTACAAAGTGTTTGGTAATATTGTGACGGGGACAGGGCAATTGCAGCTGATTGAAGCCCTACACTTTGGTCCATTGTTGACCCCTAAATGTCATATTATAAGGCCTATCTAGCGTAGTGTGTAGTAAAGGAATATCTTCATCACATTGACTCAGATACTGTGATGTTAGCTGTCTCCTGCAAAGCATGTAAAATACATGTAGAATTGAGACTAGTCAGACCAAGTGATTGCATCATCAGAATATTTCACTTACAAAACAATAACGTAGCAAGAAGAGGAAGAGCAGCTTGAAAAATAAATTATTTTGTTAAAAAAGGTGTTTGTTCAAGTCTTTCGGAGTGTTTCACTAAGTACATTCTCTCAATAGTAGTTTTACATTGACCTAAGAAATCAGCACATGGAAGCGAAGAGCTTTAGTCACCTACAGAAAAGTTACCCCCACCGGCAGAACAGAAGCAAAGCAAAATGTTTTAAGGATTTTTATAACATTGTTTTTGTAACATTAAAATACCTCACATTTGTTGTAAACGTAGCAAGGAATTCCAGGTTATATTGTCTAGAAAACATACATTCCATAACCCTCCTTTCCCTTCTGTAGTTTCATTCAACACTGCCAAATAATTTACAGGTCTATGGCTTTACTTCAATGTATAAGGCCTTTATGGCTTAGGAAGAGACACTCATTTGGCCCTCAGTCAAATAATACTTCTCCTTTCTAGTTTCTCAACATACAATAGAAAGCAAAAATGTTAAATGGGTGTGCACAAACATTAACCCATTATCAACGCATAATATATTCTTTATATATCTATGGATGAGATGGGATGAAGACTGCAGCGGATGACAGAGAGCTGGCGATTTGTTCAAAGCTGCCCCCCCTCAGTTTTTCTTTCAGTGATCTGAAATCTGATTGGTCAATGACGTGTGTCATCTGATAGTCCCAAGCTCGGTATTGGATGAAAAACTCTGTATAAAATACATACAGTAATCATGTGTAACAACAAGACCTCTATTGACGAGGTGATAAACCCAAGCATAGATCCTCTTTCTTTGAAATGTAATTTCCGGATAACTGAGAGGACCTCAACTGAGAGATGGATTGTGTACTGTGGATTCATTTGATTATTAGTGCCTGTGTAGCACAGACTATTCGGCAAATTAATTGTATTCTTTTGCATAACATAAGCGCTATAATTTCACAAAAGCTGGTATTTGCCTGTATCTTTTTCCCAATGTAAGAGCTGAACGCTCTCCAGTCTGTATAAAATTGAGAAAATCGTATAGTTGAGGATGAATGCACTATTTGGTCCAAAGTACTTACCAGTACACTTTCCCAGTAGACAGCTGAAGGTATCCACTTTGGCTTTGTTATAAAATAGTGTCCCTTTATAAGAATATTCATAAAATAATATTTCTTTAAAAAGGCACATCATTCGAAGATTTCATCATCAAAACTGCACGAAAATTGTAAATATCCTTTGGGTTTCTCTTTTAGTCCTTTTAGTTTTCATTAAAATGTTCTTCTAATTTTTTCATTCTATTTAAAAAACATCCACATAAGTGACAGTCCTGCGTTCCTACAGTGTAGGCTCTGCTGGTTCTGAGTAGACATAACCTAGCGTAACCATGGCTATCATTGTCTTCTGCTTCGCCTTATCACCGATCTCCCCTCTCTCCTTCCTCGATGGTGAGGATGATGATGTCGGGCCGCCGCCTCGTCGGACCGCCGCTTGTAGTTGTTGCTACTGAACAGGCTGTAGCTCTGCCTCCTCGAGAAGGCCCTCTGGAAGTTTGATGCTGAAGAAGAAACAATAGCACTTGTGGAGTGAAAACCAGTAAACAGAGAGATCCTCACTAGAATCAATCAATCAATCTACTGTACTCACGACTCATGCAGGCGATTTTGGGGATGTCCCATCGGCCGTCTTCACGGCAACGGATGGTTGGCACGTGCCTCTGGATGAAGCCGTCCCTACACTGGTACCTCACCAGCGCGTTGATCTCATAGCGTGACCTCTTCCTGCCGAAGGTCCGAGCATTCTGTACCAGAGGGGGCTGGTTACAGGCCACTGGGAAGAACACACAGGGGTTGATGGGAGAATGAATGGCTGAATGGATGGATGGATGGATGGATGAATGAATGAATGAATGAATGAATGAATGAATGAATGAATGAATGAATGAATGAATGAATGAATGAATGAATGAATTGATGGATGGATGGATGGATGGATGGATGGATGGATGGATGGATGGATGGATGGATGGATGGATGGATGGATGGATGGATGGATGGATGGATGGATGGATGAGTGAATGAATTAATTATACAGAAATGTACACAGTCAGTGGATTAAAATAGCTCTCAACAAGGCTCTTCAATACATTTACATTTTAGTCATTTAGCAGACGGTCCTGTCCAGAGCGACATACAGTTAGTGCATTCATCTTAAGATATCTAGGTGGGACAATTATTATGGGACAATTATGGCTAACATTAAAGTTCTTTTGTGGCATTTTTAAACTGTATCTCTGTCTTACCTGTGCCTTTCTTGCAGGTGAATGTGAGATGGTAGTTGCAGGGCACGTCATTCCACTGGCCGTCCTCATGCCAGATCATCACCACACAGTCCTCTCCAGATGAGAAGAAACTGTCTGGCTGGTTGGGACGCCAGTTCTCATATTGCTATGGGAAAAGAAGAAGAAACAAACCATCATGATTGGATCATCATCATCATCATTGTCCCCTTCTTCATCATCATAAGAAGGATTGGACCAGGATCACAGTAAAGACACCTAGCAAGTCCTGTAGCTCAGTTGGTAGAGCATGGCGCTTGCAACGCCAGGGTTGTGGGTTCGATTCCCACGGGGGGCCAGTATGAAAAATGTATGCACTCACTAACTGTAAGTCTCTCTGGATAAGAGCGTCTGCTAAATGACTAAAATGTAAAAAATGTAATGACAGCTAACAGCATGCTGGCCACACTCGTTATCTCTGGGGTATAATTGGAACAATAGATATGGTCAGTGATAGTCAACTCTGGGGCAAAGGCCATCCAATCAGTACATGCACCTTTACAGTGGTTCCCAAACATGTCTTACCCCTAACATGACCCACCAGCACCCTGTGTAGTTAGTACCCATTGCTATTCCATAGAAGTGCAAGTTAGACTCAATTGATAGTTAAGGGACTTGAACTTTAATTAATAATATGTAGGCAAAAATGCTGTTGAAAATATGAAAATAATTGTAATTGGTTATCAATGAGGTTAAAATAGCTTTCCAGTGTGTAGTTAGGTTGGTGGGGCAATTTCTGAATAACTCAAATGTGGCAGCTGAATGTAATGCTTAGACGATCCACTGGAGGGCTCTATGTTCCTTCTGCCTGTTAAGATCAACACAGACGTATTGACACATCTGGAACTATAATAATGGTCATGTTGAGCTCATCATCACAACAATACTTTTTTATCCGATTTAACCTTCATTTTACCAGGTAGATGGTGTGAAAACAATTTTTCACTTACAGCGACAACTTGGTGAAGAGTTGCAGGGGAGATAGATAACTGTAGAATGTACTGTGACTTTGGGTAAGCTAAATTACTTTTTACTTTCTCCTACTTTCAAACAGACTCTCCTACTCCTCTGTCTCTCTAACAACCCTCTTTCCCTCCATCCCTCTCTCCTAAACCTCTCCACCCTATCTCCTTACCCCCTCTTTCCTCACCCCCTCTACCTCTCTCTCCTCACCCCCTCTCTCCTATCTCCACACCCCCTTCACCCCTCTCTCCTCACCCCCTCTCTCCTCACACCTTCCACCCCTCTCTCCTCTCTCCTCACCCCTCTCCCATCACCCCCCCACCCCTCTCCTCACCCCCTCCACTCCTCTATCCTCACCCCCTCCACCCCTCTCCTCTCTCCTCACCCACTCCATCCCTCTATCGTCACCCCCTCCACCCCCTCTCCTCTCTCCTCACCCCCTCCACCCTTCTCTACTCCACCCTCACCCCTCCACCCTGCTGCCTCAGTTCCCAGAGGACACTGTAACCCACTGCCCAGCTACATTATGACATCACCCGCCAGCCCTGTGAGAGGCTTCGCTCCAAAGCCAAACAAAGGAACAGAAAAGAGGCCAAATCACAAAATAAACTGAGCCTGTGAGCCCTGCTCAGATAAACGTTATACTGCTACAGTTGTGCTGTGCAGCATGGAAACACTCATGGGAAATACAAGGTTTCTACCACATATACACCGTCATATTGCACATTTGTAAGATGGAGGATATCTTGATTCAATGTGAAGTATTGGATATTATAAACCGGGTAGTTTGGGTCCTGGATGCTGATTGGCTGAAACAGCATTTTAGCCGTGTGTACACTGAGTGTACAAAACATTATGAACACCTGGTCTTTTCATGACATAGACTGACCAGGTGAATCCAGGTGAAAGCTATAATCCCTTTTTGCTGTCACTTGTCAAATCCACTTCAATCAGTGTAGATGAGGACAATTGAGACATGGATTGTGTATGTGTGCCAGTCAGAGGGTGAATGGGCAAGACAAAAGGTTTAAGTGCCTTTGAACGGGGTATGGTAGTAGGTGCCAGGCGCACCGGTTTGTGTCAAGAACTGCAACGCTGCTGGGTTTTTCACGCTCAATAGTTTTCAGTGTGTATCAAGAATGTTCCACCACCCAAAGGACATCCAGACAATGTTACTATTGTAACTCTGCTTCAACACACGATAATTTCCGCACACACACACACACATACAGATGTAGGATCTTAATTTGATCACCCTGTTACAGGAGAACTTTCCTGCAATACAAAAATGTAAAACTAGAGTATTTGAGCTATAAAAAAAGCTTCGGATTTTTGTAATTTCCACTTTTAAATGTCAGACTTGATTTTCTCTTATGAAAAACGTATCAACCCCTACAAAAATGTACATGAATTTTAATCCACATAATAATTCACATTTCCTGTTGCTGCAGGATAATTTTCCTGCTGTAGCAAACTGGCTCAAATTAAGATCCTACACCTGTATACACACAGCTGCAGAGCTGCGTGCAATGCACCGCTGCATTGATCAGAGCTACCATCTCTCAGCTAGGCTTTAGGTTCAAACAGTCTGTTCAAAGCCGTGACCCCCCACTCTCACCCCGTTCCTCCCCCGAGGCCCCATGCAGGAACCCACAAGGAACCTTGTTATTACGGTTAGTAAACACAACCTCAGCTTCCTGCTCAGCTGACTGACGTAGCAAATGCCCACAACAGCCCCCCCCGCATCCTCCCCCAAATAATCAAACAGCCTCTCCCTCACACAAAACCAAAATTACCCCCTCCTGTCCACCCCACACATGCAAATTATAATTCCTACAATTCCTGAATGAATTGAGAATCAATGTTGTGTGTGTTAAATGTGTTTGTTGTTTTACACAAGAGAGGATTTAATACTGTTAAGGTAGATACACTCGGTTCCCAGATAAAGCCGCAATACAGTAACGCTGACCACCCACCCACCCAGGACCACTACCCACCCCCACCTCTCTCTCTGCTGCCGGGGACAGGTGCTGCCCATCTGTGTGTCTGGCTGCTGGTGGCCCTCCCCCCAGCTGCCTGCTGTGCTTCCTGAGGAGAGGGAGAGGCCTGTACCTGTCTGCGCCTGTCAGCTCCTCTCCCTGCTGGGTCACTGATACCTTTATTCCCATCTCTCTCAGCTGAGAGGGGGTTCTATCTGCCCGCAAAAGGACACAGCTTATCTTCTGCCCCCCAGGCCCTCTCTGTCCTCCACCCTTCCCCCAACCCTCTCTCTCTGGTGATGGTGTGGTCTTATCTTTGAAGTGAAGAGCCAATCTGTTCAACCTGGCCGAAAGTAGTAATTAACCACTTTCCTGTCTAGTGAGGGGAATCTGCAGTGCGTTTACACGACCACAAACAAACAAGCTTCCACTTGTGCAGACACATACACTACATATACTGAGGCTCAGTATGTCTATTTTCCTCCCTCTATTACAATCAACAGACATACACAATTCAAGCCAGCGTGGTTATTGTTATAGTTTGTGAATGACAGAGATTGTTGTTAGTGAAAGGCACCCCATGTCACTGGACATGCAGTGTAGCATTACTATAGCAATATAATTAATAGAACAGGCTTGGAACCTCTAACCCTGGCAATTTGACTGGTAAACTCATGGTTACACTTGCAATGGCTGCCTGGTATTGTGATGCAATAATTTCCATGGTAATGTAGAATGTTCATTCAAATTATGTTAACTGATGTGGCTCATGCGATGGAATGTAATTTCTGTAATGTCAGTTGAGTTGATTCAACAAATCACCGCACCGATTATTGGGTACACTTCCTGCTTTTACTTCCTGCTTTGCCTTTATGGGTACACTCGCAATGGCCGGCCCAGTCCACCCATTATGCCATCATTGATTTGAATGGGGATGCCTGTTCAATTAATTTTTTTCTATGAGCATGACACCAAGCAAGTGAGCTTGTCCAACAGGGTGTAGAGGAGATAGTAGGGTACGTCATGGGAAAGTGACCACAGTGAGTTTCCTCATTCACCACCGCAGGAAATGACACATCTCCCAGATTACTGTGTTTGTCAGCAGTATCCCTCTAAATATTTACCAGGATTCAACATTGTTTGTTGAGGCAAAAAAGTGTGAGAACCCCTTCTTACCATGGGCATGCTGTCGGTCCAGCAGAAGTCATTCTCGTACATCTTATCGTTCAGGCCGATCCACTGGTAGTCCTGTCCAAGGCCTGCCGTGAAGGGCACAATAAAACACAGTGGGTCAATGAGTTGATTCCACTGCCTTATTGGGCGTTTTTCACTCCCTCCATAAAGAGAGAGGCATTTTTCTACACATGCATCACTCTTCCTGTTCCAACTGCCTGCGTTCTCTCTCTCTCTCTCTCTCAGCCAAGACGTTTGTCGTCTACTCCACTGTCGCTGCCAACCACCCAATAACTTACTGTAGTAATGCACAATACCTCTCTGCTCCACAGCCCATATTAATTGATGAGATTAGCCTTCACTGACTTTAAGACAAGGATAAATCTGTTGGGAATTCCCTGGTGTTTCTGCAAATTCCAGATGTAGGATAATCCTACTATTAGCTGCAGGGGTTGTAAATCAGCCTTAAGAAGTACACTTGTTGTGACATACTGTAGTTATTTACAGACGGTTAAGACTGTGTCATTGAGCATTATTCTATTGTTGGTTGTGTGTCTTGTGTTGTCTTGTTTACAACTAATAGTATTGTTTTCGTGGCGTGTACGTGCATACGTGTATGTGTGTGATATCACACTTACGGTTGACAAACTGCTGCTCATCATGGGAGAGGATGCTGGCAAGGTGTGACCCCTGTACCCGGCACTCTCTCTCCGCTGTGTCCCAGTTCCTCCTCTGGGGGATGTACTTGTAGCAGTGGCCCTGGAACTTGTGCCAGCCGTAGTCACACGTCTCAGTGTCTGAGGAGAGAGAGAGAGAGAGCGTGAGAGAGAGAGAGAGAGGGGGAGAAAGAGAGAGAGGGAGAGAGAGGGAGAGGAGAGAGAGGAGAGGAGAGAGAGGAGAGAGAGAGAGAGGAAGAGAGGAGGAGATGAGGAGAGAGAGGGTAGAGAGAGATAGAGAATATGGACGTGTATCCAACGGTCCAATAAAAAAGATGAGAGCAGCTAGGAATCCACAGACAATGACACAGACTTTTACAACGGACAGAATGCCTATGAATAAACACATCATTTTCAAAAACTGTTATTGATTGAGGGGGGAAAAAGGTTGTAAACAATGCATGCGTCTACAACTTGGCACAAAAAAGGTAATATGATTAATGAAAAAGAGGGTTACACACATTCCAATACCTTTCACTATATTTTCACTGAAAAAGAGACTCTCCCCTAAGAATGTCTAACCTACCCAACACCTGTAGGAACATGGTCCTATCTGCATGTTGATCTAGGTTTTGTCCTTCAGTGCAACACCAATTAAGTTCAGGAGATAATTAGGAGACAGAGAGCGGGTCACCCTGAGCCCTCTGACCATGATGTTATCTCAGACTGCTCTCTAATCAGTGTATACTACTGTGACACATCTATTTACTTATATTTACTATTTACTCTCTCTTATTCCCTTAATACAGCTGTATATGGACTAAACAGAGAGCTTTATCGTGGCCTTTTCTCTGTTTGTCTCCTGGCAAGAGACCCTGAGAAAACAGCCAGGTCTTAGCATACGGGATCCAGCCCCGACTCACTGATGAGTGATGGCAGCAACTTCGGGGTATGGTCGGGACAGACTGGCCAGCATGTATAATGCCCTGGGTCAACACATCAGGGACAAAATGGGGTGCAGTGAATCCATAGACTCACTAGAGAATACGAGGCTATGAGTTGGTCTGGATGACATAATCAGGTATTTTACTGTACTTGTGCAATTCAAACTTCAAACTTGACGTTCTCAACCCAGGTTCTGTTGAACAAATACAGTAACATCTACTGATTCCTTTCACATACCCTGCTCAGGGCCAGCGAACGACTGGATCATTGTTGAGCTGAGCAAGAGAGGACATGAAGTCTAAAACACCTGTACTGGAAAATGCCTTTACACCTGGACTCGTGGGTATTAACCAAATGTCTGTGATTTCTTTAATAGACCACCGTGTTCGCAGACATGGAAAACTGTGACAATCTGTGGTCTGTCTGATATGGGAAGAGACTGTTGCCCCTGGCTTTTTGTTTCGTAACACTATATCTTAATAGTATGAGTGCCTGAGGGCGACACTAAGGCCTGTAAAATGTGGACGTCCTGAAGACATAAAAAAAGATGTTTATGACTCAGAGACTGTCTGTGAGTGGAAGCATCAGAGGTTATGGAGAAGGCACTGCATGGAGCTGTGCCGTGAGGTGGGAGGGGACTACACATTTCTACGCTGCCTCCTGTATCCGAATGACTCAGAGTCTCAGAGTTTCACTCTATTTCCCAAGGGCTCAGGTAACTGATCATATTAAGATATATCACACACAGCTATCTGGAGATCTATGACTTTCCCCCAACAAAGCCAACTTCCTTTCCTCTGTGATCTAAATTCAATGATCAGTGATGTATTTTTGTGGGAAATAGAAACCAGCGCTGGAGCACCTCACACCGTTGCTAAGAACACTGATATTGTTTATTTTACTATGTCATATTCTCCTTTGCATGGCAAGCTTTTATAAGTCCTAGTGCCTGAGTGATGGAGAAAAAGGGTTAGCTGGAATAACCTAAATCAAATACCTACTCGAATGCTTTCATTCAGCTGATGTTCGATGAGGAGAGAAATGTTTACTGACAGATCCCATGGATATTCTAACTAACCTACCTTCTTCACAATAGAATCCAGCGTAGCTTGAGAGGCAAACACAGGTGAAAGAATTCAGGCCGTCAACGCAGGTACCTCCGTTGTGACAGGGGTTGGACTGACATTCATCAACATCTGAAAAGAAATGTGTGGAAAAAGCATGGGTAAATTACACTGCACAGGAAATAAAACAAACAGATAGAACAACTGCATAACCGTTGAGACATGGAGGAGGTGGACATGCAAAACAAATGCATGTCTGATGAACTCTGTATTCAAATTACAGCATGCCGATAATACCCGTAGTCAAATTTTGGCACATGGCTGCTGCACCCGATGCTACACTAGTAAACCAACAAGATGAAAGGCCTACACATAGATGTGGCCTTCAGGATATAATTGGTCCTTTCTTTGAGATGAATCTCATTAGCATATTGAGACTGATCATACTCTAAAGCGCTTGGTCCTCCACTGACTGAAAACCATTTTTGGCATACCTGTTTCACAACGATCTCCACTGTAGCCAGGGGCACAGCTGCAAGAGGGGAGACTTCCGCTTCTGTAACAAGAGCCCCCATTCAGACAAATGTTCTCAGCGCAGGAGTGGATGCCTGTGTTTTAGATTTGAAGTAGAAAAAGGAAAACAAACATTCAATTGATTTCACATTCTAGAGAAGACAAATGTTAAATGACAAACATTTAAAATGATGATATGATGATATTTCCATAGCACACAATATCATTGTATCATTAACAAGCACATACCTGCAATTTCAACTGTCTCGCCAACGATCATGTGCCCCAAATCCAGTCTGGTCTCAGCTGAAGTGGTAGTTTCCACTCCCTTGATGGGGGGTTCACCCTCGACTAACGTAGGTCCTGATACATTATCATAGTCCACGGTTTCCTCCTCCTCAGACACAGATGAAGGAATGCTGTGGATTGTAGTGACTGATTCTGTCTGGTTCTGTGTTTCTGCTGGCGATACAGTTGTGTACTCTGGCTTTTCCCTCGTTGGCATCTCAGTGGCAGGAGTAACAACTTCCTCAATTTCACCCTGTGCTTCCTGTTTCTCAGAGGAGCTTACGACACTAAGGGACTCCGCCCCAGCGTCTGGAGACTGGCGAGATGGTGGACTGGTGACACCTGGCAAAAACCCGGTCTGAATCTCAGCCGACGATTGGGTGGTTTCCTCCATAGTGTCAATCTCTGGCTTCTCAGAAACTGTATTTTCTTCTGGACTGCTCTCAGAACCGGCTGACTCAATTTCAGCCCTAGGAGTCGTGAGAAAGGGTGAACCAGTGACGGCGGCTGCCAGTTCTGTTTGAGTCACAGAGAGGGATGAGGTGGTCTCCTCTGTTGTGTCACTCTCTGGCTTCACAGTGGAAGCTATGGTCACCTTTTCCCCCAAACTGCTTTCTGAGCTGTAGGAGGCTAATACTGACTGAGTCACAGATGGGCTGGACACTTCCTCTGATCTGCTCGTTGAACTGCTCTCTGAACTTGATGACACACTCTCAATCTTCTGTGTTGGGACAGTCTGTGTTGGGGCAGTGCTGAGCGCTGTTACTTCCACCTCAGGCTTTGTGGTGGTTATAACGATGGAAGGTGTAGATTCAACCTGTACGGGCTCTGAGATACTTTCATAGTCCACCATTTCATCAATGTCTGTTATTGCAGATGGCGTGCTGTACACTTTAGTTTCTAATACTTTCTCAGTTAGAGGAGAAACAATGGTAGGAATGCTTGTCTCTTCAACCACAGTCTCTTGTTCGGAGCTGCCCTCTGCACTAGTCTCCTCCGTTGTAGGTACCTGGCTTAAAGCTTCAACTTGTTCCTCTGCCTCTGATGTGGATAGTAGAGCATCATTCTTCACTGGAGAAGCAGTAGAGACAAAAGTTGATTCTGAGCTCTGTGCAGGTGCAGTTATAGTTTCAAAAGACTGGCTTGAATCTTCCTCAGGCAGCATGGGACTGGTTGTGGGCATTGCCGTTTCCTCAGAAGAGACATCAGTATGAGGATGATGAGTAAATGTTATCTCCGACCTGGCCTGTTCAAACGATTCCTCTGGTGTTGTCATGTCTGGTTTGGGGGAAAATGTTGTGACAAACTGGACCACCACGTCAGACTCTGATGGTGCCTCAGTGGAATGGACAGAGGCAATTGGCTGGACTGTGCTAGCCAGGAGAGGATCTTTTGTTGCAGAAGCGTCTGTGGTGAAACCCTCACTTGTCTGGTGACCTGAGCTCTGGTCATCTGTAGAAGGTAAGACAGAGATGGTAACTGATGGTTTGTCCGAGCCTGATGGTCTCTCTGTTTGCTCAGTGACTTCACTCTCATCTGTTACAGTTTCCTGTGATGTTGTTGTATGTTCCTCTGTGCTAAACACAGAGGAAACTGTAGTAGTTGGTGAGTCTTTGGTAAACATATCAGGGGTTTGGTCACCTGAGCTCTCCTCATCGCTATCAGGTAGGACTGAGATCACTGTGCTTTTCACTGAACTGGGAACACCTGATGGCTGTCCTGTGTTTGTTATGTCTGTCTGTTTAGTTTCTTCACTATCAGCAGTTGTTTCAGGAGAGGTAAGGTCAGCCACGGATTCATAGACTGGTGATGTTGATGTCTGCAATGGCTTGGCTGTGCTACTGTGCAAATGAGCTTCTGTTACAGGAGACTCCTGGGTGGTCATCGGACTTGTCTCATCTCCAGAATTCTCTTCATCTGTAGAACCTGTTTCTGTGTCACCAACACCAGGAGTTGCTAACTCCTTTGAGTCTGTTGGTGTTTCTGTCGGATCAATGGCTGCAGTCTCTTCTGGTGACGTTGTTGTTGACATCACATGTGGCATTACTGTGGTTGTCATTTGTTCTGCTTTGACAGTGCTGTGTACAGAAGAAACTGCTGTAGTGACAGACATATCAGCGGTATGGTCACCTGTACACTCCTCATCTGTAGAGGACAGAACTGGTTTTGTCTCTGCCTCATCAACAGCAGGACTAACTGATGGCTTTTCTGAGCCTAATGGTCCCTCTGTTTCCTCTGTGACTTCACTCTCTGCTTTTACAGATTCATGTGAGATTGTTGTGGGTTTCTCTGTGCTAAACAGAAAGGAAACTGTAGAAGTTGTAGTTGCATACTCTTTGGTAAACATACCAGGAATCTGGTCACCTGAGCTCTCTTCGGCGATAGAGGTGAGGACTGAACTTGTGTCAGGGGCAGTGCTGACAGTTGCAGGTTCTCCCTCAGGTTTTGTGGTTGTTTGAACAGCAGGTTTAGATTCAGCCTGTGACAGATTTGAAATATTCTCATAGTCCACTTCTTGATAAATGTCTGGGAAAATAGATGTGACAGTAGCGGTAGCAGGTGTACCGTACACTGCAGTGACGATCTCCTCGACTTGAGAAGTAACAGTATCCCCAGTCACTTCCTCCTTTATAGAGAAACTGGTGGGAGTGGAAGTCCCTTCAACCTCACTGTCTTGTTCTGAGCTGTCCTCTATATCAGTCGAAACTCCCTCTGTTCTAGGTACCTGGCTTAAACCTTTAACTTCTGATGTAGATGGTATTGCTGTAGAAACCATTGGGACAAAAGGTGATTCTGAGCCCTGTGCAGATGTTGTTACAGTGTCAATGGAGTCCCTTGAATCTACCTCAGGCAACATGGGACTTGTGGTGGCCTCTGCAGTTTCTTCAGAAGAGAGATCAGTGAGAGGATGTTGGGTAAATGCAATTTCAGACCTAGCCTGTTGGAAAGATTCTTCAGGTTTTGTCACGTCCACCTTGGGGACAAAAGTGGTGACAAAATGTTCTACCACATCTGGCATTGCAGATGGCGCAACAGTGGAATGGACAGACAAACTTGGCTGGGAGGAAGCTTTCTCTGTTTTCTCTGTGCTAAACAGAGACAAACCTGTAGTAGTTGTAGTCTTTTCAATCTCTGCTGTTGCTTTTTCAGGTGACATTGTTGTGGCTGTTACCTGCTCCATTTTGACAGTGCTGTCAAATGGAGAAACTGTAGTAGTTTTAGACGCTTTGGGAAACATATCAGTGGTCTGGTCACCAGAGCTCTCTTCGTCTGTGGAGGTTATATCTGAAATTGAAGCAAGTGAAGGTTTCTCAGTGCTGTACAGAGAAGAAGCTGAAGTTGTAGCAGTCCTTGCAGTCTCATCTGTCACAGTTTCATGTGACGTTGTTGTTACTTGTCCTGGTTTCTCAGTGCTGAACAGAGAAGAAACTGTAGTTGTGGATGTCATTTGTTCATTTACAATAACAGACTCTTTGGTAAACGTTTCAGGGGTTGGGTCACCAGAGATTTCTTCATCTGTGGAGGTTAACTCCGAAATAGAAGCAACCAATGGTTTATCTTTGCTATACAGGGAGGATGTGGCTTCAAAGGGTTTGGGAGTCGAAGTCTTCATGTCATCCCCAGAGATGCCCTCCTCTAAGGATGAAGGTACTAGAGTGGTAATCTCTATCGCTTCACCCTGCTTAGCAGATGTTGAGCTTGTTTCTGGGGTGGGGGTTGTGGTTTGGGAGGGCTCCACTACAGAGGTGAAGGTCTCAGATCCAGAGCCTTCAGAGTCGTCATCTCCTGAAGACTCATCAACAGGCAATGGGCTGGTTGGTTTCACAGTCTCTTTGTCTTCCTCAGTGGACACTGGCATATTCTGTGTAGTAGTGGCAGACAGCTTGGTGGCTTGGGTGGAATTAGATAAAGTTGTTGTGGTCTCCATTTCAGAATCCTCATCAGATGTGTCTTCTACTGTAGCTTTAACAGTAGTAGGAGAAGGGGTGGTGGATAATTCCATTGCATCTGTCGGGAATTCATCTTCCTCACTGCTAACTGTGGTCTGTGAGCTTGTATCTATGGGGAGAGTTGATGCTTGGGTTGATACAGGGGCAGAAGGAGTAGGCTCTGCATCAGACTCCTCACCAGTGACATCATCTCCGGAGAACTCATCAACAAACACATATGGTGTGGTGAAGGCCGTCTGAGAGCTGGACTCCGTGGACAGTGCTCTGGCTTGGGTGGTTTGAGCTTTAGAGGACACAACCACTGAAGTAGACGCCTCACTAAAAACATCCCCTACAGATGACAAGGTGGTCGTTCTCACAGTCTCTGAATGTTTAACTTCTGCAGACCTGCTTGTTGTCTCAGCACTTGCCTCTGCAGATATATCTACAGAGGTGACTGATGGGATTTGTGTTGTAGCCAGACTCAGTGAGTCAATTGTGGAAGACAAATAGACATCTGTCCCAGACCCTTCAGGTTCCTCTGTCATTGCAATTGAGGACTGTGGTGTCATGGTAATGGCTGTGACTCCCCCTGCTTCCTCTGTAACGATGGTGGGGTAGAGCGGTGAGGAGAGGTCAACCATTGCCACAGTATCAGCGTCAATGATGGTTTCATCTTTAGTGATAATCTCAGGGGTTGTGGTCATGCTGTCTGTGTCAGTGGAGAACAGTGTGTCCTCATCTCCGGCCTCCTCTGTAAATATGATAACTGTGCTTGTCGATGGTTTCGTACCGTGCAGCACCATGGTGGGGGTCTGGTCAGTCTTGGTTTGGCTGCTTGTTGAGGTGACTATCATAACCTGCTGGTCAGTAACACCCTGGTAGATAATAGAGGGGAGAGCAGTGACTGTGGATGACTGTGATCTAAAAGGCACTGTTGTATGGTCTCTGACAGTTGTGTGGTCTCTTGCTACTGTGTGGTCTCCATCAGATGAATGATCACCCACTGTTGTATGGGCTCTTGTCGTAGTATGGTCTCTTTCGGTTATATGGAATCGGTGTGTTGTACGGTCACTCATAGTTGTGCGATCACTCACAGTAACAGGGGGCTGTGTAACATCTGGACTGACGGTGGTTTCTGTATCTGGGCTGACATGACCCTTGTCATCTGGGCCTGGTGTGCTTGTCACAATGGATTCTGTTTGGCCTGTTGCCTCACTGAATGTATCTCTCACTGTTGATGGTTGTTGTGTGGTTGTGAATGACATCCGTTTGGTTTCCTCATCGACACCAGATGTCTTGGGACTAGTGTAGTCAGAGTGAGGTGACTTGGAAGACTGAGAATCTTGTGCTGTTGTTGACATTGCTGTGGTCAATACCTGTTCTGTTTTGACAGTACTGAAAAGAGAGGACACTGTCGCAGTGACAGACTCTTTGGTGAACATGTCAGAGGTCTGATCACCTGAGCTCTCGTCATCTGGGTCAGGAGCAACACTGACTATGGTAGGTTCTCTTTCAGGTTTTGTGGTAGTTTGAGTGGGTGAAGAAGATATAGATTGAACCAGTGAAGGCCCTGCACTATCGTCATAGTCCACCACGTCTTCAATATCTGGCAAAGTGGATGGTGTAACAGTGACGGTAACAACAAGTTGTTCTGTGCCTGATGTTTTCTCTGTTTCTTTTGTAACTTTGCTCTCTCCTGTGGTCTTTACATGTGGCATTGTTGTGGTTGTCACTGCTTTCACAGTGCTGTACAATGAAGAAACAATTGCAGTGGCAGACTCTATTTTAAACATATCGGGGGTCTGGTCCCCAGAGCTCTCTTCATCTGTGGAGGTTAAATCTGAAATGGAAGCAACTGATGGTTTCTCAATACTATACAAAGAAGAAGCTGAAGTTGTAGCACTTCTTGCATTCTCAGCTGTTGCAGTTTCATGTGACGCTGTCGTCACAATTTGTCCTGGTTTATCAGTGCTGAACAGAGAAGTTGCTGTAGTTGTGGCAGTCTTTTCACTCTCTGCTGTTGCAGTTCCTTCTGACATTGTCATAGGTTTCTCAGTGCTATATAGAGAAGAAGCTGCAGTGATTGTAAGTTTTGATGTCTCAGCTGTTGCAGTTTCATGTGATGCTGTAGTCATTACCGGTCTTGGTGTCTTGGTGCTGAACAGAGAAGAAACTTTAGTCGTGGATGTCATTTGTTCTGCTTTGACTGTGATGTATACAGAAGAAACCATTGCAGTAACAGACTCTTTGGTAAACATATCAGGGGTCTGGGCACCTGAGCTTTCATCGTCTGTGAGTGTTATATCTGAAATGAAAGCAACTAAGGATTTCTCCGTGCTGTTTGTTGCTTTTTCTGTCACTTCACTTTCTGGGGTCTGAGCTGTGCTAGAAATAACCTTAGGTACCTCTGCAGTTGTGCCAGATGATAGAGTTACATCAACATCAACAGCTGTTTCAAGAGTGGTGTCACTGCTGACAGACAATGTGGTAAATTCTTCCTTTGTTGTTGCTGGACTAGACAGGAGAGGAGCAGTTGTACTTGCAGGTTGCTTAGTAGACACGTCTGAGATGTCTTCACCTGAACTCTCCTCCTCTGTCCCTTCAGCCTCAGCTGTAGAGTCTATTGTCAAGTCACCACTACCCTGCTCTGTGAAAGAGGCTGTGGAAGCCTCTGTTGGTTTAACTGTGCTTGACATGGAATGAGATTGGATTGATTTGGATTCCTGGGACTGTGTGAACTCTTTTATTGAAGATTCAACACTTGGAGAATCAGATGTGCTCTCAGTCTCTCTGATTTCGGTCTCATCGGTTGCTACAGTGAACTGGTCCTGTGGTTTAGTGGTGGTCTCCACTGGTACCTCTTCACCTGACCCTTCAGCTTGACTTGTCTCCTGGTCATCATCTGTTGGTGAGATTCCCGAGCCCCCCATGTCTACGTAAGTGAAGGAAGTGACAAATGGTTTTGATGTGCTTGCTAGTCCAGTTGTTTGGTCCACAGAATGCTCCAATGTTTCAACTGCTACAGTGGGAGTGTCTATATGTGTTTCATCTATTTCTTCTGTGGGTGTGATGACTGTTCCTAAAGTTGTGAATTGGAATTGGTCACTGCTGATGACTGAGGAAGAAGATGTGGTCATAACAGCTTCTGACCCTAGTGATGATGCTGTAGTAGATTCCTTGGTAAACATATCAGGTGTCAGGTCGCCAGAGCTCTCCTCGTCTTTGAATGTGACCATTGAGGATGTCACACTAGAGACAGGGCCATCTGAAGATCCCTCGTTGCCTGTTGGTTCTTCTGTCTGTTCAACCCCCTTGGTTCCATCAGTTACCTCAGTGCTTACTGATTTTGTAAACACTGAGTCTGTTGAAGATGATGTAGTTTGCAGTGGGGCTGTTGTAACAGCAGATGTGTCATCACCTGAACTCTCATCCTCTGTGGCCTCACTTTCTGAACTAGACGGTTCTGTGAAGTCTCCACTTCCTTGCTCAGACAATGAAGCACTGGATGATTCTATTGTCTCAGCTGTGCTAGTGGAGAGATGAGATTGGGTTGATGTGGATTCCTGGGACTGTGTGAACACTTTTGAAGAATCAACACTTGGAGTCTTAGATGTGCTCTCAGTCTCTCTGATTTCAGTCTCATCAGTTGCTGCAGTGAACTGGTCCTGTGGTTTAGTGGTGGTCTCCACTGGTACCTCCTCAACAAACCCTTCAGCTTGACTTGTCTTTTGCTCACCCACTGTTGTTGAGTTTCCAAATCCATCCATGTCATCCTCTGTTGTTGAGATTCCAAATCCCTCCATGTCTATGGGTGTAGAGGTGCTGTGGGTAACCTGTGTTGATCCACTGGTTTGTTCCGTCACCTGTCCAGTCAATGTATAAGGAGTGGTAGAACTACTGACAAACTCAAACGTTGAGGTTGGCACCTTGCTAAACATATCAGGAGCCTGATCACCAGAACCATCTTCCTCTGTAAGGGTCAAGATTGAACTTGAGGTTACTGTTGGTCTTGATGTAGTGTAAGTACTAACTGACTCTGATGGGGATGCAGTTGTTGCAACAGGCTCCTTGGTGAACATCTCAATAGTTGAACCACTTGACATTCCATCCACTTCTGAAGTGAGGACGGCGCGTGTCTCTGTTTCATCAATAATGGGAACAACTGATGGCATTTCTGAGCTTGATGGCAACTCCGGCTCTTCTGGTCTGACTGTGCTATACAGTGGAGAAAGAGGGGTGGCAGCTGACTGAGTAGTAAACATATCAGGAGTCTGATCTCCTGAGCTCTCCTCTTCTAGGATGGTAGTCTCAAAATGAGCAGTTTTCTCTGTGCTATGTAGAGAAGAACCTGTAGTAGCAGCAGCAGTTATTTTCAACTCCGCTGTTGCCGTGTCCTGTGACACTGTGGTCGCTATTTGTTTTGGCTTCTCAGTGCTGAACAGAGAAGAAACTTTAGTCATGAATGTCATTTGTTCTGCTTTGATTGTGCTGTATACAGGAGAAACCGTTGCAGTAAAATACTCTTTGGTACATATATCAGGGGTCTGGTCACCTGAGCTTTCATCGTCTGTGAGTGTTAAATCTGAAATGAAAGCAACTGAGAGTTTCTCTGTACTGCTTTTTTCTCTTTCTGTCACCTCAATTTCTGGGGTCTGAGCTGTGCTAGAAATAACCTTAGGTACCTCTGCAGTTGTGCCAGATGATAGAGTTACATCAACATCAACAGCTGTTTCAAGGGTGGTGTCACTGCTGACAGACAATGTGGTAAATTCTTCCTTTGTTGTTGCTGGACTAGACAGGAGAGGAGCAGTTGTGCTTGCAGGTTGCTTAGTAGACACGTCTGAGATGTCTTCACCTGAACTCTCCTCCTCTGTCCCTTCAGCCTCAGCTGTAGAGTCTATTGTCAAGTCACCACTACCCTGCTCTGTGAAAGAGGCTGTGGAAGCCTCTGTTGGTTTACCTGAGCTTGACATGGAAGGAGATTGGGTTGATGTGGATTCCTGGGACTGTGTGAACACTTTTGAAGAATCAACACTTGGAGTCTTAGATGTGCTCTCAGTCTCTCTGATTTCAGTCTCATCTGTGGCTACAGTGAACTGGTCCTGTGGTTTAGTGGTGGTCTCCACTGGTACCTCTTCACCTGACCCTTCAGCTTGACTTGTCTCCTGGTCATCATCTGTTGGTGAGATTCCCGAGCCCCCCATGTCTACGTAAGTGAAGGAAGTGACAAATGGTTTTGATGTGCTTGCTAGTCCAGTTGTTTGGTCCACAGAATGCTCCAAAGTTTCAACTGCTACAGTGGGAGTGTCTATGTGTGTTTCATCTATTTCTTCTGTGGGTGTGATGACTGTTCCTAAAGTTGTGAATTGGAATTGGTCACTGCTGATGACTGAGGAAGAAGATGTGGTCATAACAGCTTCTGACCCTAGTGATGATGCTGTAGTAGATTCCTTGGTAAACATATCAGGTGTCAGGTCGCCAGAGCTCTCCTCGTCTTTGAATGTGACCATTGAGGATGTCACACTAGAGACAGGGCCATCTGTAGATCCCTCGGTGCCTGTTGGTTCTTCTGTCTGTTCAACCCCCTTGGTTCCATCAGTTACCTCAGTGCTTACTGATTTTGTAAACACTGAGTCTGTTGAAGATGATGTAGTTTGCAGTGGGGCTGTTGTAACAGCAGATGTGTCATCACCTGAACTCTCATCCTCTGTGGCCTCACTTTCTGAACTAGACGGTTCTGTGAAGTCTCCACTTCCTTGCTCAGACAATGAAGCACTGGATGATTCTATTGTCTCAGCTGTGCTAGTGGAGAGATGAGATTGGGTTGATGTGGATTCCTGGGACTGTGTGAACACTTTTGAAGAATCAACACTTGGAGTCTTAGATGTGCTCTCAGTCTCTCTGATTTCAGTCTCATCTGTGGCAACAGTGAACTGGTCCTGTGGTTTAGTGGTAGTCTCCACTGGTACCTCTTCACCTGACCCTTCAGCTTGACTTGTCTCCTGGTCATCATCTGTTGGTGAGATTCCCGAGCCCCCCATGTCTACGTAAGTGAAGGAAGTGACAAATGGTTTTGATGTGCTTGCTAGTCCAGTTGTTTGGTCCACAGAATGCTCCAAAGTTTCAACTGCTACAGTGGGAGTGTCTATGTGTGTTTCATCTATTTCTTCTGTGGGTGTGATGACTGTTCCTAAAGTTGTGAATTGGAATTGGTCACTGCTGATGACTGAGGAAGAAGATGTGGTCATAACAGCTTCTGACCCTAGTGATGATGCTGTAGTAGATTCCTTGGTAAACATATCATGTGTCAGGTCGCCAGAGCTCTCCTCGTCTTTGAATGTGACCATTGAGGATGTCACACTAGAGACAGGGCCATCTGAAGATCCCTCGGTGCCTGTTGGTTCTTCTGTCTGTTCAACCCCCTTGGTTCCATCAGTTACCTCAGTGCTTACTGATTTTGTAAACACTGAGTCTGTTGAAGATGATGTAGTTTGCAGTGGGGCTGTTGTAACAGCAGATGTGTCATCACCTGAACTCTCATCCTCTGTGGCCTCACTTTCTGAACTAGACGGTTCTGTGAAGTCTCCACTTCCTTGCTCAGACAATGAAGCACTGGATGATTCTATTGTCTCAGCTGTGCTAGTGGAGAGATGAGATTGGGTTGATGTGGATTCCTGGGACTGTGTGAACACTTTTGAAGAATCAACACTTGGAGTCTTAGATGTGCTCTCAGTCTCTCTGATTTCGGTCTCATCAGTTGCTGCAGTGAACTGGTCCTGTGGTTTAGTGGTGGTCTCCACTGGTACCTCCTCAACTGACCCTTCAGCTTGACTTGTCTTTTGCTCACCCTCTGTTGTTGAGTTTCCAAATCCATCCATGTCTATGGGTGTAGAGGTGCTGTGGGTAACCTGTGTTGATCCACTGGTTTGTTCCGTCACCTGTCCAGTCAATGTATAAGGAGTGGTAGAACTACTGACAAACTCAATCGTTGAGGTTGGCACCTTGCTAAACATATCAGGGGCCTGGTCACCGGAACCATCTTCCTCTGTAAGGGTCAAGATTGAACTTGAGGTTACTGTTGGTCTTGATGTAGCGTAAGTACTAACTGACTCTGATGTGGATGCAGTTGTTGATTCAGACTCCTTGGTGAACATCTCAATTGTTGAACCACTTGACATTCCATCCACTTCTGAAGTGAGGACGGCGCGTGTCTCTGTTTCATCAATAATGGGAACAACTGATGGCATTTCTGAGCTTGATGGCAACTCTGGCTCTTCTGGTCTGACTGTGCTATACAGTGGAGAAAGAGGGGTGGCAGCTGACTGAGTAGTAAACATATCAGGAGTCTGATCTCCTGAGCTCTCCTCTTCTAGGATGGTAGTCTCAAAATGAGCAGTTTTCTCTGTGCTATGTAGAGAAGAACCTGTAGTAGCAGCAGCAGTTATTTTCAACTCCGCTGTTGCAGTGTCCTGTGACACTGTGGTCGCTATTTGTTTTGGCTTCTCAGTGCTGAACAGAGAAGAAACGTTAGTCATGAATGTCATTTGTTCTGCTTTGATTGTGCTGTATACAGAAGAAACCGTTGCCGTAACAGACTCTTTGGTAAATATATCAAGGGTCTGGTCACCTGAGCTTTCATCGTCTGTGAGTGTTAAATCTGAAATGAAAGCAACTGAGAGTTTCTCTGTACTGCTTTTTTCTCTTTCTGTCACCTCACTTTCTGGGGTCTGAGCTGTGCTAGAAATAACCTTAGGTACCTCTGCAGTTGTGCCAGATGATAGAGTTACATCAACATCAACAGCTGTTTCAAGAGTGGTGTCACTGCTGACAGACAATGTGGTAAATTCCTCCTTTGTTGTTGCTGGACTAGACAGGAGAGGAGCAGTTGTGCTTGCAGGTTGCTTAGTAGACACGTCTGAGATGTCTTCACCTGAACTCTCCTCCTCTGTCCCTTCAGCCTCAGCTGTAGAGTCTATTGTCAAGTCACCACTACCCTGCTCTGTGAAAGAGGCTGTGGAAGCCTCTACTGGTTTAACTGTGCTTGACATGGAATGAGATTGGATTGATTTGGATTCCTGGGACTGTGTGAACTCTTTTGTTGAAGATTCAACACTTGGAGAATCAGATGTGCTCTCAGTCTCTCTGATTTCGGTCTCATCGGTTGCTACAGTGAACTGGTCCTGTGGTTTAGTGGTGGTCTCCACTGGTACCTCTTCACCTGACCCTTCAGCTTGACTTGTCTCCTGGTCATCATCTGTTGGTGAGATTCCCGAGCCCCCCATGTCTACGTAAGTGAAGGAAGTGACAAATGGTTTTGATGTGCTTGCTAGTCCAGTTGTTTGGTCCACAGAATGCTCCAAAGTTTCAACTGCTACAGTGGGAGTGTCTACGTGTGTTTCATCTATTTCTTCTGTGGGTGTGATGACTATTCCTAAAGTTGTGAATTGGAATTGGTCACTGCTGATGACTGAGGAAGAAGATGTGGTCATAACAGCTTCTGACCCTAGTGATGATGCTGTAGTAGATTCCTTGGTACACATATCAGGTGTCAGGTCGCCAGAGCTCTCCTCGTCTTTGAATGTGACCATTGAGGATGTCACACTAGAGACAGGGCCATCTGAAGATCCCTCGGTGCCTGTTGATTCTTCTGTCTGTTCAACCCCCTTGGTTCCATCAGTTACCTCAGTGCTTACTGATTTTGTAAACACTGAGTCTGTTGAAGATGATGTAGTTTGCAGTGGGGCTGTTGTAACAGCAGATGTGTCATCACCTGAACTCTCATCCTCTGTGGCCTCACTTTCTGAACTAGACGGTTCTGTGAAGTCTCCACTTCCTTGCTCAGACAATGAAGCACTGGATGATTCTATTTTCTCAGCTGTGCTAGTGGAGAGATGAGATTGGGTTGATGTGGATTCCTGGGACTGTGTGAACACTTTTGAAGAATCAACACTTGGAGTCTTAGATGTGCTCTCAGTCTCTCTGATTTCGGTCTCATCAGTTGCTGCAGTGAACTGGTCCTGTGGTTTAGTGGTGGTCTCCACTGGTACCTCCTCAACAAACCCTTCAGCTTGACTTGTCTTTTGCTCACCCTCTGTTGTTGAGTTTCCAAATCCATCCATGTCATCCTCTGTTGTTGAGATTCCAAATCCCTCCATGTCTATGGGTGTAGAGGTGCTGTGGGTAACCTGTGTTGATCCCCTGGTTTGTTCCGTCACCTGTCCAGTCAATGTATAAGGAGTGGTAAAACTACTGACAAACTCAATCGTTGAGGTTGGCACCTTGCTAAACATATCAGGGGCCTGGTCACCGGAACCATCTTCCTCTGTAAGGGTCAAGATTGAACTTGAGGTTACTGTTGGTCTTGATGTAGTGTAAGTACTAACTGACTCTGATGGGGATGCAGTTGTTGCAACAGGCTCCTTGGTGAACATCTCAATTGTTGCACTACTTGAGGTTGTATCCTCTTCTGAAGTGAGGATGGTGCTTGTCTCTGTTTCATCAATGATGTGAACAACTGATGTCATTTCTGACCTTGATGGTGCCTCTGGCTGTTCTGGTCTGACTGTGCTATACAGTGGAGAAAGAGGGGTGGCAGCTGACTGAGTAGTAAACATATCAGGAGTCTGATCTCCTGAGCTCTCCTCTTCTAGGATGGTAGTCTCAAAATGAGCAGTTTTCTCTGTGCTATGTAGAGAAGAACCTGTAGTAGCAGCAGCAGTTATTTTCAACTCCGCTGTTGCCGTGTCCTGTGACACTGTGGTCGCTATTTGTTTTGGCTTCTCAGTGCTGAACAGAGAAGAAACTTTAGTCATGAATGTCATTTGTTCTGCTTTGATTGTGCTGTATACAGAAGAAACCGTTGCCGTAACAGACTCTTTGATAAATATATCAGAGGTCTGGTCACCTGAGTTTTCATCGTCTGTGAGTGTTAAATCTGAAATGAAAGCAACTGAGAGTTTCTCTGTACTGCTTTTTTCTCGTTCTGTCACCTCACTTTCTGGGGTCTGAGCTGTGCTAGATATAACCTTAGGTACCTCTGCAGTTGTGCCAGATGATAGAGTTACATCAACATCAACAGCTGTTTCAAGGGTGGTGTCACTGCTGACAGACAATGTGGTAAATTCCTCCTTTGTTGTTGCTGGACTAGACAGGAGAGGAGCAGTTGTGCTTGCAGGTTGCTTAGTAGACACGTCTGAGATGTCTTCACCTGAACTCTCCTCCTCTGTCCCTTCAGCCTCAGCTGTAGAGTCTATTGTCAAGTCACCACTACCCTGCTCTGTGAAAGAGGCCGTGGAAGCCTCTGTTGGTTTACCTGAGCTTGACATGGAAGGAGATTGGGTTGATGTGGATTCCTGGGACTGTGTGAACACTTTTGAAGAATCAACACTTGGAGTCTTAGATGCGCTCTCAGTCTCTCTGATTTCGGTCTCATCTGTGGCTACAGTGAACTGGTCCTGTGGTTTAGTGGTAGTCTCCACTGGTACCTCTTCACCTGACCCTTCAGCTTGACTTGTCTCCTGGTCATCATCTGTTGGTGAGATTCCCGAGCCCCCCATGTCTACGTAAGTGAAGGAAGTGACAAATGGTTTTGATGTGCTTGCTAGTCCAGTTGTTTGGTCCACAGAATGCTCCAAAGTTTCAACTGCTACAGTGGGAGTGTCTATGTGTGTTTCATCTATTTCTTCTGTGGGTGTGATGACTGTTCCTAAAGTTGTGAATTGGAATTGGTCACTGCTGATGACTGAGGAAGAAGATGTGGTCATAACAGCTTCTGACCCTAGTGATGATGCTGTAGTAGATTCCTTGGTACACATATCAGGTGTCAGGTCGCCAGAGCTCTCCTCGTCTTTGAATGTGACCATTGAGGATGTCACACTAGAGACAGGGCCATCTGAAGATCCCTCGGTGCCTGTTGGTTCTTCTGTCTGTTCAACCCCCTTGGTTCCATCAGTTACCTCAGTGCTTACTGATTTTGTAAACACTGAGTCTGTTGAAGATGATGTAGTTTGCAGTGGGGCTGTTGTAACAGCAGATGTGTCATCACCTGAACTCTCATCCTCTGTGGCCTCACTTTCTGAACTAGACGGTTCTGTGAAGTCTCCACTTCCTTGCTCAGACAATGAAGCACTGGATGATTCTATTGTCTCAGCTGTGCTAGTGGAGAGATGAGATTGGGTTGATGTGGATTCCTGGGACTGTGTGAACACTTTTGAAGAATCAACACTTGGAGTCTTAGATGTGCTCTCAGTCTCTCTGATTTCGGTCTCATCAGTTGCTGCAGTGAACTGGTCCTGTGGTTTAGTGGTGGTCTCCACTGGTACCTCCTCAACAAACCCTTCAGCTTGACTTGTCTTTTGCTCACCCTCTGTTGTTGAGTTTCCAAATCCATCCATGTCATCCTCTGTTGTTGAGATTCCAAATCCCTCCATGTCTATGGGTGTAGAGGTCCTGTGGGTAACCTGTGTTGATCCACTGGTTTGTTCCGTCACCTGTCCAGTCAATGTATAAGGAGTGGTAGAACTACTGACAAACTCAATTGTTGAGGTTGGCACCTTGCTAAACATATCAGGGGCCTGGTCACCGGAACCATCTTCCTCTGTAAGGGTCAAGATTGAACTTGAGGTTACTGTTGGTCTTGATGTAGTGTAAGTACTAACTGACTCTGATGTGGATGCAGTTGTTGCATCAGACTCCTTGATGAACATTTCAATTGTTGAACCACTTGACATTCCATCCACTTCTGAAGTGAGGACGGCGCGTGTCTCTGTTTCATCAATAATGGGAACAACTGATGGCATTTCTGAGCTTGATGGCAACTCTGGCTCTTCTGGTCTGACTGTGCTATACAGTGGAGAAAGAGGGGTGGCAGCTGACTGAGTAGTAAACATATCAGGAGTCTGATCTCCTGAGCTCTCCTCTTCTAGGATGGTAGTCTCAAAATGAGCAGTTTTCTCTGTGCTATGTAGAGAAGAACCTGTAGTAGCAGCAGCAGTCATTTTCAACTCCGCTGTTGCAGTGTCCTGTGACACTGTGGTCGCTCTTTGTTTTGGCTTCTCAGTGCTGAACAGAGAAGAAACTTTAGTCATGAATGTCATTTGTTCTGCTTTGATTGTGCTGTATACAGAAGAAACCGTTGCCGTAACAGACTCTTTGATAAATATAGCAGAGGTCTGGTCACCTGAGCTTTCATCGTCTGTGAGTGTTAAATCTGAAATGAAAGCAACTGGGAGTTTCTCTGTACTGCTTTTTTCTCTTTGAGTCACCTCACTTTCTGGGGTCTGAGCTGTGCTAGAAATAACCTTAGGTACCTCTGCAGTTGTGCCAGATGATAGAGTTACATCAACATCAACAGCTGTTTCAAGGGTGGTGTCACTGCTGACAGACAATGTGGTAAATTCCTCCTTTGTTGTTGCTGGACTAGACAGGAGAGGAGCAGTTGTGCTTGCAGGTTGCTTAGTAGACACGTCTGAGATGTCTTCACCTGAACTCTCCTCCTCTGTCCCTTCAGCCTCAGCTGTAGAGTCTATTGTCAAGTCACCACTACCCTGCTCTGTGAAAGAGGCTGTGGAAGCCTCTGTTGGTTTACCTGAGCTTGACATGGAAGGAGATTGGGTTGATGTGGATTCCTGGGACTGTGTGAACACTTTTGAAGAATCAACACTTGGAGTCTTAGATGTGCTCTCAGTCTCTCTGATTTCGGTCTCATCAGTTGCTGCAGTGAACTGGTCCTGTGGTTTAGTGGTGGTCTCCACTGGTACCTCTTCACCTGACCCTTCAGCTTGACTTGTCTTTTGCTCACCCTCTGTTGTTGAGTTTCCAAATCCATCCATGTCTATGGGTGTAGAGGTGCTGTGGGTAACCTGTGTTGATCCACTGGTTTGTTCCGTCACCTGTCCAGTCAATGTATATGGAGTGGTAGAACTACTGACAAACTCAATCGTTGAGGTTGGCACCTTGCTATACATATCAGGGGCCTGGTCACCGGAACCATCTTCCTCTGTAAGGGTCAAGATTGAACTTGAGGTTACTGTTGGTCTTGATGTAGTGTAAGTACTAACTGACTCTGATGTGGATGCAGTTGTTGCATCAGACTCCTTGATGAACATCTCAATAGTTGAACCACTTGACATTCCATCCACTACTGAAGTGAGGACGGCGCGTGTCTCTGTTTCATCAATAATGGGAACAACTGATGGCATTTCTGAGCTTGATGGCAACTCTGGCTCTTCTGGTCTGACTGTGCTATACAGTGGAGAAAGAGGGGTGGCAGCTGACTGAGTAGTAAACATATCAGGAGTCTGATCTCCTGAGCTCTCCTCTTCTAGGATGGTAGTCTCAAAATGAGCAGTTTTCTCTGTGCTATGTAGAGAAGAACCTGTAGTAGCAGCAGCAGTTATTTTCAACTCCGCTGTTGCAGTGTCCTGTGACACTGTGGTCGCTATTTGTTTTGGCTTTTCAGTGCTGAACAGAGAAGAAACTTTAGTCATGAATGTCATTTGTTCTGCTTTGATTGTGCTGTATACAGAAGAAACCGTTGCCGTAACAGACTCTTTGGTAAATATATCAGGGGTCTGGTCACCTGAGCTTTCATCGTCTGTGAGTGTTAAATCTGAAATGAAAGCAACTGAGAGTTTCTCTGTACTGCTTTTTTCTCTTTCTGTCACCTCACTTTCTGGGGTCTGAGCTGTGCTAGAAATAACCTTAGGTACCTCTGCAGTTGTGCCAGATGATAGAGTTACATCAACATCAACAGCTGTTTCAAGGGTGGTGTCACTGCTGACAGACAATGTGGTAAATTCTTCCTTTGTTGTTGCTGGACTAGACAGGAGAGGAGCAGTTGTGCTTGCAGGTTGCTTAGTAGACACGTCTGAGATGTCTTCACCTGAACTCTCCTCCTCTGTCCCTTCAGCCTCAGCTGTAGAGTCTATTGTCAAGTCACCACTACCCTGCTCTGTGAAAGAGGCTGTGGAAGCCTCTGTTGGTTTACCTGAGCTTGACATGGAAGGAGATTGGGTTGATGTGGATTCCTGGGACTGTGTGAACACTTTTGAAGAATCAACACATGGAGTCTCAGATGTGCTCTCAGTCTCTCTGATTTCGGTCTCATCGGTTGCTACAGTGAACTGGTCCTGTGGTTTAGTGGTGGTCTCCACTGGTACCTCCTCACCTGACCCTTCAGCTTGACTTGTCTTTTGCTCACCCTCTGTTGTTGAGTTTCCAAATCCATCCATGTCTATGGGTGTAGAGGTGCTGTGGGTAACCTGTGTTGATCCACTGGTTTGTTCCGTCACCTGTCCAGTCAATGTATAAGGAGTGGTAAAACTACTGACAAACTCAATCGTTGAGGTTGGCACCTTGCTAAACATATCAGGGGCCTGGTCACCGGAACCATCTTCCTCTGTAAGGGTCAAGATTGAACTTGAGGTTACTGTTGGTCTTGATGTAGTGTAAGTACTAACTGACTCTGATGTGGATGCAGTTGTTGATTCAGACTCCTTGGTGAACATCTCAATTGTTGAACCACTTGACATTCCATCCACTTCTGAAGTGAGGACGGCGCGTGTCTCTGTTTCATCAATAATGGGAACAACTGATGGCATTTCTGAGCTTGATGGCAACTCTGGCTGTTCTGGTCTGACTGTGCTATACAGTGGAGAAAGAGGGGTGGCAGCTGACTGAGTAGTAAACATATCAGGAGTCTGATCTCCTGAGCTCTCCTCTTCTAGGATGGTAGTCTCAACATGAGCAGTTTTCTCTGTGCTATGTAGAGAAGAACCTGTAGTAGCAGCAGCAGTCATTTTCAACTCCGCTGTTGCAGTTTCCTGTGACACTGTGGTCGCAATTTGTTTTGGCTTCTCAGTGCTGAACAGAGAAGAAACTTTAGTCATGAATGTCATTTGTTCTGCTTTGATTGTGCTGTATACAGAAGAAACCGTTGCCGTAACAGACTCTTTGATAAATATAGCAGAGGTCTGGTCACCTGAGCTTTCATCGTCTGTGAGTGTTAAATCTGAAATGAAAGCAACTGAGAGTTTCTCTGTACTGCTTTTTTCTCTTTGAGTCACCTCACTTTCTGGGGTCTGAGCTGTGCTAGAAATAACCTTAGGTACCTCTGCAGTTGTGCCAGATGATAGAGTTACATCAACATCAACAGCTGTTTCAAGGGTGGTGTCACTGCTGACAGACAATGTGGTAAATTCCTCCTTTGTTGTTGCTGGACTAGACAGGAGAGGAGCAGTTGTGCTTGCAGGTTGCTTAGTAGACACGTCTGAGATGTCTTCACCTGAACTCTCCTCCTCTGTCCCTTCAGCCTCAGCTGTAGAGTCTATTGTCAAGTCACCACTACCCTGCTCTGTGAAAGAGGCTGTGGAAGCCTCTGTTGGTTTACCTGAGCTTGACATGGAAGGAGATTGGGTTGATGTGGATTCCTGGGACTGTGTGAACACTTTTGAAGAATCAACACTTGGAGTCTTAGATGTGCTCTCAGTCTCTCTGATTTCGGTCTCATCAGTTGCTGCAGTGAACTGGTCCTGTGGTTTAGTGGTGGTCTCCACTGGTACCTCTTCACCTGACCCTTCAGCTTGACTTGTCTTTTGCTCACCCTCTGTTGTTGAGTTTCCAAATCCATCCATGTCTATGGGTGTAGAGGTGCTGTGGGTAACCTGTGTTGATCCACTGGTTTGTTCCGTCACCTGTCCAGTCAATGTATAAGGAGTGGTAAAACTACTGACAAACTCAATCGTTGAGGTTGGCACCTTGCTAAACATATCAGGGGCCTGGTCACCGGAACCATCTTCCTCTGTAAGGGTCAAGATTGAACTTGAGGTTACTGTTGGTCTTGATGTAGTGTAAGTACTAACTGACTCTGATGTGGATGCAGTTGTTGATTCAGACTCCTTGGTGAACATCTCAATTGTTGAACCACTTGACATTCCATCCACTTCTGAAGTGAGGACGGCGCGTGTCTCTGTTTCATCAATAATGGGAACAACTGATGGCATTTCTGAGCTTGATGGCAACTCTGGCTCTTCTGGTCTGACTGTGCTATACAGTGGAGAAAGAGGGGTGGCAGCTGACTGAGTAGTAAACATATCAGGAGTCTGATCTCCTGAGCTCTCCTCTTCTAGGATGGTAGTCTCAACATGAGCAGTTTTCTCTGTGCTATGTAGAGAAGAACCTGTAGTAGCAGCAGCAGTTATTTTAGACTCAGCTGTTGCAGTTTCCTGTGATACTGAAGTCGGTACATGTCCTGGCTTCTCAGTGCTGAACAGAGAAGTTGCTATAGTTGTAGAAGTCTTTTCACTCTCTGCTGTTGCAGCTTCCTGTGACGCTGTGGTAGGCTTCTCAGTGCTATGCGGAGAATAAGCTGAAGTGATTGTAATCTTTGATGTTTCAGCTGTTGCAGTTTCACGAGATGCTGTAGTCACTACTTGTCTTGGATTCTTAGTGCTGAACAGAGAAGAAACTGTTTTAGTTGCCGTGTCTTTGGTAAACATATCAGATGTCTGATCACCTGAGCTCTCTTTTTCTGTGGTGAGGACTGAACTTGTTTCAGGTGCAGGGCTGAGGATTGTAGGTTCTTCTTCAGGTTTTGTGGCAGTTTGAGTGGGTGAAGGTATAGACTTAACGTGTGAAGGCTCTGCGCTACCGTCATAGTCCACCTCTTCAATGTCTGTCAAAGTGGATGATGTGACAGTAATGGAAGCTACACTTGTTGGTTCTCTGCTGTACATAGAAGATGTAGGTGTCACGGAAGTCTTGGTAAACATCTCAGTTGTTTGGTCACTTGAGCTTTCTTCATCTGTAGAGGTGAGGACTGAACTTGACTCTATGTCACCGGTAATTGGGGTAACTGAAGGTTTTTCTGTTACTTGTCCTGGTTTGTCTGTGCCATATAGAGATGAAGCTGCAGTAAGAGCCGTCTTTGAAGTCTCAGCTGTTGCAGATTCATGTGACGCTGTCGTTCTGACATGTCCTGGTTTCTCTGTCCTGAAAAGAGTGGAGACTGTGGTGGTTGCAGTTTCTTTGGTAAACATATCAAGAATTGAGCTTGTCTCTGTATCATCAATCATGGGAAGACCTGATGTCCTTCGTGTTTCTCTAGTCGGTCCAAATTCTGTTATTTCAGTTAGTGCTTCCTGTGAGGTGCCAATCACTGTAGCTGATGTCCCCATTGGTTCCCATGTTTGATCTATCAGGGTAACCACGGCAGTCGTAGATGATACTTGGGATGCAGTTTCATGCGAGGCTGTAGTCCCTACAAGTCCTATTTCGTCCGTCCTGAATAAAGAGGACACTGTGGTAGTTGCAGTGTCTTTGGTAAACATATCAGGGTTCTGATCACCTGAGCTTTCCTCATCTGTAATGGTAAGTTCTGATGCAGTTGTCTGGACATCTGCGCTCTCCTCACCAGTAGAGGAGAGGTCTGAGGTTCTCTCTGTGTAAACAGTAACAGGGGTACCTGAAGGTTTTTCTGTGCTTGTTGGCCTCTCTGTGACTTCTGTGACTGTCTCCACTGTTGCAGTTTCTTGTGACGTTGTTTTCTCCGTGCTATATACAGACGAAACTGTAGTAGTAGCAGTCTCAGTGTCAGGTGTTGCAGTTTCATGTGATGCAGTAGTTAATTGTCCGGGTTTCTCAGTGCTATACAGAGAAGTAGCTGTAGTTGTAGCAGTCTGTGGAGACTCCCCTGCTGCAGTTTCATGTGATGCTGTAGTCTCTACATTTTCTGGTGTCTCAGTACTAAACAGAGAAGAAGTGGTGGTTGTTGTAGTTGCAGAGTCTACGGTGAACTTATCACCTGTCTGGTCAACTGAGCTCTCCTTGTCTGTAGAGGAGATAACTGTGCTCGTCACCACCTCATTAATAATGGGTGTAACTGATGGTTTTTCTGAGCCCAATGGTTTCTCAGTCTGCCCTGTAACTTCACTATTTCCTGTTGTGGTCATTACATGTGGCATTTCAGTGGTTGTCATTTGTTCTGGTTTGACTGTACTATAAACAAAAGAAATAGTTGCAGTGACAGGCTCTTTGGTAAACATATCAGGAGTCTGGTCACCTGAGCTCTCTTCATCTGTAGACAGGACCGAGCTAATCTCTGTATCATCAATTACACTGATGGTGGAGGGCTTTTCTGTGACGGATGTGTCTTCAATTGCAGCACTTCCCACTGTTATACCTACAGGTCGCTTAGTTGTAGTCATCTCCATCTCTGTTTTGATTGTGCTGAACAATGTAGGACCACTTGTCGCTGTAGACTCATTGGGGAACATATCAGGAGTCTGATCACCTGAGCTCTCTTCATCTGTGGTGAGGACTGAGCTTGTCTCTGTAACAGGAATAGACAAAGGTTTTTCTGAGCCTGCCAGTTTCTCAGCCTGGTCTGTAACTGCACTCTCTGCTGTTTCATGTGACACTGTGGTAGTAATTACTGGTTTCTCAGTGCTATACAAAGAAGAAACTGTGGGAGTTGCAGTGTCTTTGGTGTAAATCTCACTTGTCTGGTCACCTGAGGTCACTGTAGAGGATAGGGTTGAGCTTGCCTCAGTCACTTGAGTATCCACTGTAGCTCCACTAGAAACAGCTGTGCTGAAAGTCACAGAAGGTGAGACTGTTGGTGACACATCAACTTTTTTACTGGGTTCAATGCTTGATGATAATGTTGATCTATCATCCTCCATTTTGCCCGTGCTGAACACAGGAGATGCTGTTGTCACAATAGACTCCTTAGTGGACATCAGAGTTATCTCATCTTCATCTGTAGAGGTGACGGCTGTGCTAGTCTTTGTGTCATCACTAACCGGAGTAGCTGATGGTTTCTCTGTTTGCTCTGTAGCCTCACTGGTTGCTGTTGTGGTTGTGGTCACATCATGTTCTGTTTTGATTGTACTATAAAGAGGAGAGAGAGGTGATGCAGTAGATGTGCTAGTAAACATATCAGGGTCACCTGAACTTTCCTCCTCCATAACACTTGGGGTAACTGAAGATGTATCTTTGCTTGTGGTCTCTTGTTCTTGTTTAGGTACCTCACTTGTCAGAATTGTGCCCTGTGTGGTGTATCGGCTGACTAAGTCTGAGAGAGATGCCATGGTTGTCTTAATCATCTGAATAGTACTATATATTGGAGAGGCAGTTGTTGCAGAAAATTCTTTGGTGGACATTGGAGATATCGCCAGACTCTCAGAACTCTCTTCATCTGTGGAGGCTGAAGTTGTCTCAGTCTCATCAATGATAGGAACAACTGATGGTTTCTCTGTGCCTGTTTGGTCTTTGGTCAGTGATGTTACCTCACTTTCCATTGTTGCTTGCTGTGTAGTGTCTGTTGAGCTTGTTCTTGGTGACGTTGTTGTGGATCCTAACAAGATCTGTTCTGTGTTGGATGATGAAGAGCTGGTTGTGAACATATCAGGAGTTTGGTCTCCTGTAGTCTCCTCCTCTGGTATGAAAACCATATGTGTTGCAGTAGTGTCTTTAACTGTGGGAGACACTGAAGGCTGGCTAATTGTTGTTCCCTCTTTCTGGCTTGTCAAAAATCCAACTGTGGTAGAGATCACAACTGTGGTAGCTGGCGGTGATCCATCTTCAACATCACCAGAAGTGGGTGTAGGGATGGACAGTGAAGGGATTTGAGTGGAGATTTCAACATCTGGAACAGCAGATGCAATATCAGTCTCACCTGTGGACATGTGTAGTTCTGTTGTGGGAGAGAGAGAGAGCTCTTCCACAGACCCTTCTGGCTGAGTCACCTCAGCATTATTGTCATCATCCACGGGTTGTGTCGCTGATCTCTCAACCTCTTTGTCAAACACAGAGGTGCTGACTTGCTTGCTTCCTTCAGGGGGTGTGGGTGTATGAGATGCTTGGGTTTGTTCTGAAGCTTTGGTTACTGCTGTGCCAGATGGTGAAACAGTGGACACTGCTTCAGTGGATGTAGTTATGACGTCACTTAGTCCCTCTGAGGTTTCTGAAAATGATGATACACCCTCAGCTGTTTGCTCTGTTTTGGATGGAGTGGTTTCCACAATTGCTGTGACAGGTGCAGAGGTTGCAGTCACGTCTGTCTTTACAGCAGGGCCTTGTGTGGTTCCCTCAACCTGCTCTGGGGGTGACAGAGGAGGCGTTGACTCCACATGAACCATCTCAGGGCCATGGTTATCAAAAAATGTATCGAGAGTGGACGTTGACAAAGGCCGTGGGGAAGTTGAGAACGGTTCCTCCGTGGACACCAAAGAGATCTCCTTCTGAACATCAGTCTCATCTGTTATATTATCAATCTCTATCAGAGAGTAATCAAATGAGGTGGGGGTCATCTCCTCGTCGCTGCCCCCCAGCACGGTCACATTGTCCTCAAACTGGAACTGATCTCCTCCTGGTCTCCTCCCAACCTCCTCCTCTACTCGTATTCTCTCTGGCTCCAGGGTCACCTCGTGTTTGCCATTGATGAAGCTCAGCTTTGGATTGATGGTGACGGCAGCAGAGGAGAATAAGTCAGGTTCTCCACTGGCCAGCATGGGCTCACCATCCACCAGGGAGGGGGTGGCCTGGTCAGGAACGACAGGGATGGTAGGGAACTGACCCAGGTCTGGCACATCTGGAAGTACAGGGAACTGAATCAAAGTGTCTAAGATCTGCAGAGTTGCATCCACTGAAAAGAGACAGGGAGAGAGAGAGAGAGAGAGAGGGAGAAAGAGGGGGGAAATAGACTGATTAGCATACATAACAATGACACTATAAAAAGTAATTGTGTTGCTACCATTAGTTAATGCATTTATTTATACTTATTTACTAAATAGTTATTGAAAGTGATTGATAAAGTGCACAAAATGAACAAATGTGACATTGTTCTTAAACTTATTATTTGATTTCTTCCCTCCTGAAATGTAACCTGTTCACTGAACACAGTAATGGTCATTCAAGGCGTGGATTTTCCAAAGATACAAAGAGTAGATTATGTTGAAAAGCATTCGCACTGGGCACAGACGTCAGTTCAACGTCTAGTTTTGATTTACATTTAGTTAAGTTGTCAACTAACGTGAATTCAACGTGAAATCAACAAAACATGTCACCATGTCATTGGATTTAGGTTGAAAGTTGGGGGAAAAGAAGACGTAATGCCCATGTGTCGATAACTTTCTGCAAATCCAATCAGTTTTTCACGATTCAATGTCATCACATTGATTTTTTTGGGTTGAAATGACGGGGAAACAACATTGATTTAACCAGTTTTTGCCCAGTTGGTTGTCTCAACCTCCACAGTTCTCCGTCCATGTTGAATACCCTGAGGCTGTATTTAGTGAGTGGAAATCCAAATAAAAACAATTCCACGTTTGCCCTTCCTATTTCAGTTTAACTCTATTCAGCTCCATGGTTTACAAAAACATTGGACCTGAAATCCTGTAAGATGACCTAGGCCTAGGGCATCAGTTGGGGGAAGGCGTCCGCTTCTACTCCTGTTAACCTTTATTCTCTTTATGACCTCTGTCTAGTCATGAATAACAGGGGAGGGTAAAATCCTGTGGCAAGATGCTGCACTAAGTAGAGCTCAGCAGCTAATACCGGTTATGTGCTTATGACTGAATGATTTGATATGGTCACAGCATCTTCACAACAAAGATAGCATGAGAGGACTAGTCACTTTAAAGGTCAGACTACAAATAATCAAACTATTATAAATCAAATATTCTCGTACATATTTGGAAACTTTGGCTTGTCTGCCAACTGAATACCATCCAAACCATAATCCACAGATTTATATCCCCAATTAATTTGCAAAGAAAAATTACCACAAGGCCATCTCAGTGAGTAAGAAATGTACAATTTAAGCCTAACATTTAGGATTCCGAATTAAACAGTGACACTTCCAAACATCTTTGTGGAACATTGTTTGCTTTTCTGGGGTTACCAGTATTGCTTTACAGGTCTTATGATGGGGGCCACTTCCAACTTGGATTCAGAAATTACACGTCCTACAATACTACAGATGTAGGATCTTAACCTGATCACCCTGTTGCAGGAGAAATGTCCTGCAATGCAGGAAATGTAAAACCTGTAGTTTATTTGAGGTTTAAAAAGGCTTCTGAAATTTGAAATTTCCACTTTGAAATTTCAGACTTGATTTTCCCTTATGAAAAATGTATCAATCCCTATAAAAATGTCCATTAATTATAATCCACATAAGAATTCACATTTCCTGTTGCTGCAGTTGTGTTAATTTCTTCTTTTTAAAATGGTAACTCAGCAGCATCCTTCACTCTCTCCGAAGCACAAAGCTATCGCGATCTTCCTACACGCTTTACGCCTTACTTTGGAAAAGTGCAGTAAGTGACATGCTTCACCAGTTAAGAGGATGGCATCTGGTACAGCTCACAATACTTGGCAGTGATGTTTTAATCAGGCTGTTATGGGGAGCATTAAAGAATGCATATGATCGGTGTAACACGGCCCTTAAGCCCCTGTCTTGTGGGCTGGAAGGTCCCTCTCAGACCCCAAGTCAACTAAGGCTCTGAGCAAAGACAGACCTCCTGTTCCTGCCCTGCTTTGCAAACAAGAGTGGCTGTTAGGAGTCAAACGCTGAGCAGATCCATTGGATGTCAGTGTCTCCCTGGAGAGGAATGCGTGCCACATCTGATGATCGGCCCACACAACTGTATAGCCTTTGGAAAATAAGTCCTCACGCGTCCCCTCGAGATGCACACTTCAGTGTTTTTTTCCTTCCCCAGAATTAATAACAAACGTTGTGAGTAAGCCAGTGCTTCACGCCCTGATCTGACGGCACTAAAATGAATTACAAAGCAGGTGGCAAATGGCTTGGCTGAACACAGAGCAGTGTGGTCGTCTCTCTGTCATGGTAATCAGCTCGCCATTCTTTGGCTTGATCTGTTTACCATTTTCTACTTGCAATCCAACCAACGCCAGGGTAGGGGATAATGGGTATTCATTCACCATTCACCACACACTCCTCCTCCATCCTTTTTCTCTCTCCCATCTGAAGAGAGAAGTTTCCCACAAGCTGTGGCTCAGATAGATTCATGGCTGGGAGAGAGAACACCTGAAGGGGCCTAACGCTGCAGAGGCTGACACCTGTTTAAGGCCAGTGGAGCCTGGGAACACATAAGAGCAATAACCCACCCCCTTACACACACACACACAACCCCCCTCTTTAATCACTGCATCTTACCTCACTCCACACTCCCAACTCCCCTACCCTTTCTACTCCCCCGCACCACCACCACCACCACCACCACCATGCCTCCCTGCCTCCCTCCTGAAACTCCCTGCCTCAGTGGCGGGTGCCCAAGCTCCTGGTGACATATTACGCATCTGTTAAAATAAAACCAGCCGCCACATAAACCGAGGCCAGCAGTGGCTCTGGAGGGAGAGCAGTGCTCCATGCTGAGGACAGGCACAAACACTCTGCTGTGTGCGAATCATGACCTCAGCCACACAACTCACCAGCTGCACAGCACCACTGCTCCAGAGTCCAGACCTATCTCCTTACTCTAATTCAGTGGGCAGGTAGGTCATGTGGATGCTTTGGAGGAATCATTTTGTACTGGATAGCACATAATAAGGTTGGACCACACACTAAAACTTGAAGATCAAATTATAGGTGGACAAATATCAATGTGCTGTTAAAACATCAATGTGCCCTTATGGGATCAGTTCGTTCATTCTGATCAGGGAGATGTGAGTGATTATTGTCACTTATCAAGCTCTTTGTATAGGTTACTATGACTCCAATTATAATAATAATAATAATATGCCATTTAGCAGACGCTTTTATCCAAAGCGACTTACAGTCATGTGTGCATACATTTTTACGTATGGGTGGTCCCGGGGATCGAACCCACTACCCTGGCGTTACAAGCGCCATGCTCTACCAATTGAGCTACAGAGGACCAATTCCCATAAGCGAGTGGTTTCTCCTGTGAAGGTCCTTGTGGCACAAAACAGTCAGGCCACCACGCCACCAGCTCCTCAAACCAAATCAAATCAAATCAAATGTTATTTGTCACATATACACATGGGTTTAGCAGATGTTATTGTGGGTGTAGCGAAATGCTTGTGCTTCTAGCTCCGACAGTGCAGTTATATCTAACAAGTAATATCTAACATATCACAACATATACCCAATACACACAAATCTAGCAAGGAATGGAATTTAAGAATATATACATATAAAGGACAAGCAATGACAGAGCGGCCTGGACTAAGATACAGTAGAATATTATAGTATAGAATACAGTATATACATATGAGATGAATAGTGCAAGATATGTAAAATTATTAAAGTGACTAGTGTTCCATTTCTTAAAGTGGCCAGTGATTTCAATAGGCAGCAGCAGCCTCTAATGTGCTAGTGATGGCTATTTAACAGTCTGATGGCCTTGAGATACAAGCTGATTTTCATTCTCTCGGTCCCAGCTTTGATGCACCTGTACTGACCTCGCCTTCTGGATGATAGCGGGGTGAACAGGCAGTGGCTCGGGTGGTTGATGTCCTTGATGATCTTTTTGGCCTTCCTTTGACATCGGGTGCTGTAGGTGTCTTGGAGGGTGGGTAGTTTGCCCCCGGTAATGCGTTCGTCAGACCGCACCACCCTCTGGAGAGCCCTGCAGTTGCGGGCGGTGCAGTTGCCGTACCAGGCGGTGATACAGCCTGACAGGATGCTCTCAATTGTGCATCTGTAAAAGTTTGTGAGGGTTTTAGGTGCCAAGCCAAATTTCTTCAGCCTCCAGAGGTTGAAGAGGCTCTGTTGCGCCAGCTGTCCTCACAGAGAGGGGAGACTTTGTCTTAGTGGTGACATCACCCTTGAGATGATGTCCAGGCTTCAGTGTGCAGACGGGCATCTGTGCTTACTCAGGTAGGCTGCCAAGCCTCCTCCTTTACTGTCAGGCTGGCAGAGGGAGCCTGGCATGCACACATGCACATACGCACGCGCAAACACACACACACACACAGGCTGTGCCCTGGGTCCGTGATGTGGCTCCTCTGCGCACAGTGTTGGCTCTCTCCCCAGCAGGCTGCACCAGCAGGTCTGCACTCTGAGAGGGAGTCCAGATCACCTGTACCCAGGCTCAACGGCAGCCCCATGGCAGTGCCAAACCAAACGTGTCCTGTACCACCGTGCCAGATCACCAAACTCATTTACAGCTAGTGTAGCACCACAGCGAGTCAGTAACGCTTCAGTATCCCTTTGTATTCGTTCTCTCCTTCTCAACCTCAACTTTCTTCAAGGCCAGCCATATCCTCCTTCTAACATAAATGCTGGGGGACAAGTAGCAAATATTCTTATATACTGTAATGTGAAGTGGTTGAGGTAATGTTACTGACACATGTAAAAGGCCACTTCAGGAGAAACTTTATGCCAATTTGCTTATGACACATTAAGGATTTTATTGCCTTAAACTGATTGAAATTAAAGAGGAAAAGTGTCATTATGACATTATTACAATCATGCTATTAATCTATAATCCAGCATTACTCAAAAAGCATGAGTAATCACGCCTGAAACAGACTGGCACTCGGAGCAACCATCAATAACCTGCTGAATAAGACATCAGTAATCCCTCCACTGGCCAATAGACTGTGAGGTGAGGGGTGGGACTCAAGGCCACACACTCCCTCGTCCTACACTGTTGCGGCTGCCTCAGTGAAGGAGAATAACAGCGATAGCAAAAAGCGAAGTGGGGAGAGTTATCCTTAACATTGGTAATCGACATAACTCAGGTCCTGGAGGCCTCACTGCTATGCTGACCACAAGACCTGTTAATCCAATAAACAGCTACTTTCTTAGAGACTGTGACCTTTTTCATTTTTCACTGTGTTTATTTCCCTCTGAACCCCCTGTCTGTCTGGACATTTGTTCAGCTGGACTAAGTGACTGAACTGAGGTGGTCCAGTTACTAAGAACCAAGTAGACTGTTAACGGATGTGGGGAGAGAGGATCCACTGAGGAATTCACTAGCTAGCTAGCAGGGGAGAGCAAAACAATTACAAAGAACATGTTTTGCAAGGGCTCCCTTGACAGGTCTACAGGGGTGGACATATATTTCATCTAACCACTTGATTAGAATTTATTTATTTATTTTTGCTCTGTAACAGTGTAAGATGATGTCAAATTGTGACAATACGCTAATGTCGCCTTTGTTATGTCTGTGGATTTTCTTCTGTCATTTTCAAAGGGTCTTCTGATGTAAATAGCCTACATGATTCTTGCTTGGTCTAAGGTTTTCATGAAACACATTTTACTATATAGAGTAAAATGTTGTAAGATATGAGAATAATATGACACTATAAAGGCAAAGCAACGTCAGACAGACATGAAATGAAAGAAAATGTCAGCCAAACATGACATACTGTATTCACATTTTTGGCAGGTTAGTGAAAACAGCGAAATCCCCAGTCTGTATTCTTCAGCATTGTTTAGAGTAGCTAATCAACTATCGCTACGTACAGTATGTGCTCAGTGCAGTAGTGGTTCCACACAATAATTGGCTAGTCCAATGACAAGACGAGTCATAATTTTCCTTTTCAAGTATCCAGCTCAAAAAAGCCATTGTGGCAATATACGTAACAATGCATGATAAACTAGCTAGCTAACTGTGTCGTCACCCATGAATACGTGTTCAATCAGCTAGCATTAACTTCACCCATGCTAAATCAGAATATGGTTAGACTATGCTTCGTTTTTGCAGATAGGTTTACATAAAGATGATCTTTGTTTCATGATCAAGAGAGTATAAAATATTAGAGCTCCATGCTCCTCCAAACTACAACATATCCAAAAGAAAACCCTATGCAAAGTCAAAAACTACAAACATGTTCCCTAATGGTATTGAAATGAACAAGTCACACCAAAGCTAATGCTGATGTGGCAGCGTCTGTGTGTGAGCGAGAGAGAGAGCAAAAGAGAGAGAGAGAGAGAGAGAGAGAGAGAGAGAGAGAGAGAGAGAGAGAGAGAGAGAGAGAGAGAGAGAGAGAGAGAGAGAGAGCAGCACATGTGCATTCCCCATGGCGGAGAGTCAACCCCCCCCCCCCCCCCCCCCCCCCCCCCCCCCCTTCAGCACCCTGGACAGCACATGGTCTTACTGTCTCTTGCCAAAAAACCCTCTACTGTACATTCATGTTCATTGGCAGAGAGCAGCAGCACAGTAGGCCATAAGTGTTAACACATGTTAGAGACTCACTATGCCTAAACATATTGAACAAGAAAAGAGCTGTTATTCACAGTAAACCAAAATATGTACTGTGCTTATGTTTTAATAAGCTTATTTTGCAAGTCAACAGGAGGAGAGTGATCAAGTTGAAGACCCACCCTAGTAACAGTAGCCTAACACATCTGACCTCCTACTAGAGCAGACATAAAGGATCCCAGGCAGGGGCAGATCTAAAGGACTACTAAGCACATGTGCACCACATGACTGTGTAGTAGGCCTAATCCTATTATAGGGAGGTCCTGATCTTTCCAGGTGACCCACAGCAAACCTCAACTACTGCAATCAACTTACATTGCAGACATCCAGGTTATCACCGTCATGAAAATAAACATAATCTACTGGAAGTTTGACCTTTATATATCATACTTTATATAGGTCACCAAACGTGGAATTGTTACAGATCAACGTTTACCTCTAATGTTTGCCTATATCAAATGACCAATGTTTGCCTATATCAAATGACCAATGTTTGCCTATATCAAATGACCATAGCATTGGACGTAATGGAATACAGCAAACAAGAGGTATTCTTCTTACCTGAATCGTTCTGCTTCTGCTCGTCCACATTGACATGGATTGGGAGTCCGTCTGGGCCCACTGTGGCTGGAGCCCTGGTGGGCTTGTTCACGGCGGAGGTCATGGGGGCAGATGTGAAGTATTCTGTGTCGATGTCTGTGGTGACGTCCGAGCCTTCAGTCAGGGTTTCACTGGGGGACTCAGGGAGGTGAGTGGTGGACTCTTCAATGACCTGGACGCCTGAGGTCACATCCTCAGCTGAAGTCTCAATGTTGATGAGAACGGCAGCTGCTGTTGTGCTCACTGAGGAAGGCTGCTTGGATGTCACGGTTGCATGTAGTGGGGTGGATTCAGTTGGCGGGGCCTGTGTTTGACATGCCTCCTCCCTGTACACGATGGCTGGTGTCTCTACATCATGAGGAAGATGTTTCTGGGTGGCCTCAGCTTCAGAAACACCCTCTGTCTCAGCCAGGTGAGTGACGGCTTGCACGGTCGAGTCTTGGGATGAGGGTGTGGTCAGGGCATCAGTTTTTGAGTCATCTAAAGGCTTCAATGATGAATCCGTTGGTATTGTTGAGCGTGTGGCTCCTGGTTGTGTCGGGGTGGTGGTGGTCTCAATGCCGGAGCCGGGATCTGTATCACACACGATTGGGACAGTGGTGGGAGATGGGCTTGTTGAGGGCTCATCATGCACCGCTTGGGTTGGAGGAAGTCCCTCTACAAATCCTTCTGTTCCAATCTCATCAACATAGACTGGGGAGGGGGTTGTTGAATGTAGGTCCTCCTCAGAGGCTGCCTCTGTTTCTGGGGACACTGTTGTACCAGCGGGATTGAATTGATCAGCGTGGGGGCTAAGTGTGCTTCTGTCCTCAGTGCTTACTGCCACTGTAGAGGATACCCTTGGTGTAGGTGACAAGGTGAGCGATGCGGCGGAGCCCAGGCCAACGGGGGTTTCAGGTACCATCCCACTGCCCTCCACGTCATCAGTGAATAAGGTCATCACCATACTAGGAGTGGCAGTGGATGTTGTGGGTGGGGTAGTTTCAGTGGTGACTGCATCAGAGGATCCCTCAAGGACCTCTGCTGTTGAGGGCTGGGCAGTAGCCTCAACTTCACTACGATCAATTGGTTGAGAAGTAGCGCCACTCACTGACACATCTGGAGTGGTGGGGGCAGTCATCATTGCGGAATCATCTGTGGTTTCAAGAGTGTAGGGCAGTTCAGTTACATGTAGACTGGACTCATCTGTAGTGTCCTCAGTACTAATAGGTTCATCTGTAGTTTGCTCAGAGGTGATTGGTTCTTCCGTAGTTTCCTCAGTGGTGATTGATTCAGTTGGTTTGGTTGTCGAAACTGATTTGGCATCTTTCAGGTCGGAGGTAATCTCCGGAGTGATCCCTTCCAGGATGGTTTCCTCTGTGTTTCCGTGAGCAAACATGGGTTCTGTGCTTGGAGAGGCCTCTAGAAGAATGTCAGGCTGAACCGTGCCCACTTCAATCACGGAGTGATCCTCTGGTTCTTCTATGGCTTCAGCCAATCTCTGCCCAGATTCTGTGCTCTGTGGCTGGGCCACGGTGGTACCTCCGGATTCTTCAGGTTTGGCATCTTCCACCTGGACGGCTGCAGTGGCCGGAGGGGGATTAGTGGAGGTAGTATCACCAGGATGTGGAGTTGTTGGACCTCCTTTTGTAGTGGGTGGAGCTTGAAACGAGTCTCCGCGGTTAGAGTACAACTCCACATGGCTTGGGCTTTCCTCAAAGTCATTGACGTTGTAATCGGGGAAGGCTGTTGTCATGACATTGTCAACGGTCTGCTTGGTGATGGTGGCAGCGGTAGTGTGTGGCTCTGTAGCAGTGGTTGTGTGTAGCAGGGTCACCTCCTCAAGATCGTCTTCATGTGTTACCGGGGTGGGGCGAGGCGGGGCCATGCTGGTTGAGAACATAGACGGTGTTGCCGCTGTTTCAGCTGATTCTCCTGTCTCTGTAACAAGTTCAGAGCTCAGGGTCTGGGTAGCGCTGCCTCTGTCCAGAGGAGAGAGCTCTGTGGTGGAACCAATGGGGGATGTGGCCACCATGGGGGGGGGCGTAGTAGCACCCTCCACAGACACATCCACCCAGGTTGTCTGATTTCTCAGCTCCCTCCTAGCTGCGGACAGAAGAATGGAAATCAAGTCTATTACTGTCAATGAAATCCCCAGACCAAAAAAAGTGCCTGAAACAAAAAGAACCAATGACTTACACATAAAAATATGGTCAGGCCCGAAAATAGTTTGTAACATAAGAACGGAGTGATTAATAGCCAGTAAATTCATATCCCACTGTCTTATTTTTGGACCACTTAACTATTTAATCTGGGATCTTTCATTCTATTTTCAAACTACCCAGTTCCTGTCTGAGGTTCACTGGCTGGCACCAGAATGGTACGTTTGTCTTGGCTGTACCTTGCCAACTCACTCAATCCGCCAGGTTTCACACAGCACTACCCACTTACAATACAGCAGACACGCTGGTGTATGGCACGAAGCCAGTATAGACTTCACTATAAACCCTACAGTGAGTGTCCTCAGAAGACCCAGCCTCTAGACCTACAAATCATGACATCATTTCCCACAGCCCGCAATAAGTCTAATAATGATTGATTATTGTATCAAACAAAGCAAAGTAAAGTAATCCCCTTCAAATGTAATTCCCCTTACTAAACTTGGGACTCATCTTACAATGTTCTCTATATTTGCAGAGTTTATAATAATTTGTAACACTTGGTCAAAAATGTTTCTTCTTGTGAGGAAAACAACTAAATCAGAGTGAAATCCCAGGCATGGCTTAATAACATAGTGTTGCCATGGCATGGGAGTGTAGGGCATGAAATAACTCTGTGTAAACATGATGCTTAGAGACACATCAAAGTTTTGAAAGCTGTTGTGTTTATCACTAGTCCATCCATAAATTCACACTTTCTCTCCAAGAAATAATGATATTCTTCTGAAATTATTGTGACATGTTATGGCGCATCAGTAATGAAAGCAGTTTCCCACCCCAGAGGCTTGTAATCATAACAAGGGTTCAAAATACCAAACAATGGTCATAAATTGTGTCTAGAAGTCCAGTATTATCATGTTGATCCACTCAGAATGTTCTTTCCCTCCATTCCCACCACTAGCACAGGCTAGTTTCCATAGCACAGGCAGATACTGTAATGTAGGTGAGGTCATTTTCAAAGCTTTCTATTTTCAACGTTAAGACAAGTGCAAACTTAGAACATTCATTTCACATTTCCTACTGTGTCTATAGGCATGCATGTGTCCATTAAGAGTGAATTAAACAGTGGTGTAAAGTACTTAAGTAAAAATACTTCAAAGTACTACTTAAGTCGTTTTTGGGGGTATCTGTACATTACTTTACTATTTACTTTTACTTCATTACATTCCTAAAGAAAATTATGTACTTTTTACTCCATACATTTTCCCTGACACCCAAAAGTACTCGTTACATTTTGAATGCTTGGCAGGACATGAAAATGGTCTAATTCACACACTTACAATGAGGGAAAAAAGTATTTGATCCCCTGCTGATTTTGTACATTTTCCCACTGACAAAGAAATGATCAGTCTATAATTTTAATGGTAGGTTTTTTTGAACAGCGAGAGACAGAATAACAACAAAAAAATCCAGAAAAACGCATGACAAACATGTTATAAATTGATTTGCATTTTAATGAGGGAAATAAGTATTTGACCCCCTCTCAATCAGAAAGATTTCTGGCTCCCAGGTGTCTTTCATACAGGTAACGAGCTGAGATTAGGAGCACACTCTTAAAGGGAGTGCTCCTAATCACAGCTTGTTACCTGTATAAAAGACACCTGTCCACAGAAGCAATCAATCAATCAGATTCCAAACTCTCCACCATGGACAAGACCAAAGAGCTCTCCAAGGATGTCAGGGACAAGATTGTAGACCTACACAAGGCTGGAATGGGCTACAAGGCCATTGCCAAGCAGCTTGGTGAGAAGGTGACAACAGTTGGTGCGATTTGCAAATGGAAGAAACACAAAAGAACTGTCAATCTCCCTCGGCCTGGGGCTCAATGCAAGTTCTCACCTCGTGGAGTTGCAATGATCATGAGAACTGTGAGGAATCAGCCCAGAACTACACAGGAGGATCTTGTCAATGATCTCAAGGCAGCTGGGACCATAGTCACCAAGAAAACAATTGGTAACACACTATGCCGTGAAGGACTGAAATCCTGCAGCGCCCGCAAGGTCCCCCTGCTCAAGAAAGCACATATACAGGCCTGTCTGAAGTTTGCCAATGAACATCTGAATGATTCAGAGGAGAACTGGGTGAAAGTGTTGTGGTCAGATGAGACCAAAATCGAGCTCTTTGGCATCAACTCAACTCGCCGTGTTTGGAGGAGGAGGAATGCTGCCTATGACCCCAAGAACACCATCCCCACCGTCAAACATGGAGGTGGAAACATTATGCTTTGGGGGTATTTTTCTGCTATGGGGACAGGACAACTTCACCGCATCAAAGAGACGATGGACGGGGCCATGTACCGTCAAATCTTGGGTGAGAACCTCCTTCCCTCAGCCAGGGCATTGAAAATGGATCGTGGATGGGTATTCCAGCATGACAATGACCCAAAACACACGGCCAAGGCAACAAAGGAGTGGCTCAAGAAGAAGCACATTAAGGTCCTGGTGTGGCCTAGCCAGTCTCCAGACCTTAATCCCATAGAATATATGTGGAGGGAGCTGAAGGTTCGAGTTGACAAACGTCAGCCTCGAAACTTTAATGACTTGGAGAAGATCTGCAAAGAGGAGTGGGACAAAATCCCTCCTGAGATGAGTGCAAATCTGGTGGCCAACTACAAGAAACGTCTGACCTCTGTGATTGCCAACTAGGGTTTTGCTACCAAGTACTAAGTCATGTTTTGCAGAGGGGTCAAATACTTTTTTCCCTCATTAAAATGCAAATCAATTCATAACATTTTTGACATGCGTTTTTCAGGATTTTGTTGTTGTTATTCTGTCTCTCAGTGTTCAAATAAACCTACCATTAAAATTATAGACTGATCATGTCTTTGTCAGTGGGCAAACGTACAAAATCAGCAGGGGATCAAATACTTTTTTCCCTCACTGTATCAGGAGAACATCCCTGGTCATCCCTACTGCCTCTGATCTGGCGGACTCACTAAACACATGCTTCGTTTGTAAATTATGTCTGAGTGTTGGAGTGTGCCCCTGGCGATACGTACATTTTTAAAAGAACAAAATTGTGCCGTCTGGTTTGCTTAATATAAGGAATTTTAAATGATTTATACTTTTACTTTTTGATACTTAAGTATATTTTAGCAATTACATTTACTTTTGATACTTAAGTATATTTTAAACCAAATACTTTTAGACTTTTACTCAAGTAGGATTTTACTGGGTGACTTTCACTTTTACTTGAGTAATTTCTATTAAGGTATCTTTACCTTTACTCTAGCATGCAATTGGGTACTTTTTCCACCACTGGAATTAAACAGCACATACACTTTTAGACGTCTATTCTTGTGGTTTTGTGGAGTGGCTCTTGTTTTTGGGTCTCTTTATGCCTGTCATCCCACTGTCTCTGAGTTTACTGGTGTTGTCCCTGTCTGTGCTCCAGCTCCTGACTTCATGTGGCCACTGGAGCTGCTCCTCCAATATGCCTAATCATAATTATGACCCCTCCCTATAAGCTACAGCACTGTAGGACTATTGAAGTTAAGTTGCTAAGAGATCAATCCTATATTCCTCCCAGACTGCTCTCAGTGACTGGATCAAAGCTTGATTGTTCAGAAGGCACATCCTCGCTCGTTCTCTCACTGCCCCTATGTCTGACTCACTCTCTTACTCCCCCCTCCCCCCTTCTCTCTCTCTCTCCCCCTCTCCCTCTCTCTCATATATATATACACACATACACACACCTCCTCAGGGGCCCGACAGGCTGTGTAATGCAGACGACAGCTGTTCAGCATTACGTACTTTCCCTCCTTCTCTACGCAGCTATCTCTGATGTAAGGTGTGAGACACTTTTTTCCCTAGCAGGAAAAATAGACCCTGGTCTGTTAGAAAGCAGAGGGAGTGCACTATCTCACTGATGTTTGTGTGCTGTCACTGTTACTGGGTCCTTTGTTTTCTCCAGTCCAGGGACCAAATTATCCCTCCATTTTCCTCCTCTGCCACTCTCTCATCTAACTGACTAATGTTTATATAACGTCTTATTTGGTGTTTTTGTGTTCCTGGAAGGGGAAATGATTAAGTGTCCCATCCAATGGAAAAGGGGGTACTTGAAAAGCACTTAGGCGAGAACAAAACCAAAAAGTGAGAGCTAAAATGGAATACAGGGAGAGCTAAAATGGAATACAGGGAGAGCTATAATGGAATACACAAATGGGGAGGTAAGAGTGCACTCTTTGTGTGACCTCCTAACCCTGTGACCTCTAGCGTCTCTCAGGGAGGCCCAATGGCCTGGCAGGGGGCGGCTTATCTAGCCGATCCTCGTTTAAAAAGATGGAATGGCCACGTCAGAGGTCGGCTTATCTAGCCGACCCTCGTTTAAAAAGATGGAAAGGCCAGGTCAGAGGTCACCAAGGCTGACTGGTTTTAGAAGTCCGGTCAGTAGCTCCATCCGTTATCCTAACGTCTGCTCTGATAACTACCAAGTGAGTGTTACAGAAAAGGGGCCAACTCTGACAGTGGAAACGTGAGGACAGAGGAGAAAAGAGAGAGATAGGGAGAGGAGAAAGTCTGACAGACCTGTATCTGCACTTTGTTTTGGTGGCCGAGTCATTTGGCATCACCTGGAGATGTCATGATTAGATAGAGTTTATCTAACTTGGATCAAATAAGTATATTATCAAGTATTTGAACATCTTATATTTGTATCTTTTATGAGGGAGTATGTGACTGTTTTCTCTGCTCAACTGCACCATTGAGGTTATCCAAGGCTAGCCACAGAGAAAGAAAACACAAAATGCGCCCTGCCTTGAAGTAATACAGCTATTAAAGCCAAACAGATAATTACTGTGTAGGACTCTCCAACACACCATTGGTCAATAAATCACCCATTAGTATCAGATTGGGCTATGCATTGAGTAAATCACCCCTCAGATTGGGCTATGCATCGAGATCAAAGACAGCAAGAGTTTAGAATTATGATTTCATCCTACTGTTAGCCAATCCCAATTTAGTTGCTGAGGGCGGGAACCCAAAAGGACATACAGTAAGGTCAGTAATTCAATGTAACAGGCTACACAGTCTAGTTAGAGTGAAACGCACAGCGCTCTACATAGGGATCTGTTTCGTTCGTTTTCTTGACAAAAGAAACACTAAAATTAACATGCAAATAAACCATACAATCAATACAAGGTGAGTTATACACAACATTTTGAGAGTGTTTTGTAGACATTTCAGTATTAGTGTCAGAGGGTGCAGACAAGATGAGGATTGGTGGGTGGGAGTGAAGCAGCTGCACCCTAAAGGGGTGACATCACGGCACTGGCCTTGACCAGAAATACTAAATACTCTCTGACCTCAGTCTGTGTCTGAGTAGTATGCTCTGAGAGTGCTCTGTTAAATCCAAAAGGAACCCTTTCCACATAGATGAGAATACCTATGTATGTTTACCTGTAAAGCAGTAGGCTCCCAGCTGTGTGGAGGGTTCTGGGAAGCCCGTCTGGTTCCTGTAGCGGTACATGGTCCTGACGCCCAGTAGACCTCCACCACACTGCATTCTGGGTACGGCGACGGGATGGCGAGCGCTGCCGTCAGAGAGCCAGCCGTAGTCACACCTGTCCAGACCCTGTCTCCAGGCGGAGTGGAGCTGACCCGGCGACGCCAGTATGGCGTTCCTGTTCTCACACTCCTTCTTCGCCTCCTCAAACGTCATCTTACGGGTCACAGGCGCATAGTATACCTCACCTGAAAACAAACAGGCATTACATGTCAATTGTGACTTTCTAGTGACTGGGTATCAGGGTGTTGTAATACAACTTCTATGTGTGCTATCACTGACTGACAATTTGAGTTCTGTTCTCCCTATTATAAGCATTTGTATTGACCTTTTCATAAACTTCTATGTGACAGTACACTTTAATAAATCAAGTGGATATGGCTACTGGGGAATGTGGATATAGGAAAACATATTAGGGCTGTGACGATACCAGTATCGCAATATTTTTTCAATGGCAAAAATGAAAACACGAAGCAGACCAAACGCTTTGGTCTTTTAAAAACCTAATAATGTTTGTTTCCTTGCTATGATACTAACGAGTATTGCAATACTGGTATCGTCCCTAACAAATATGTCATTCCAATTTGACCATGGAAGCAGTTTCATAAAGATATAGAGCCATAACTATAAGCCAGTGTCAATGCTGTGGAGGGCTCTGGGCCTAAACCTTCACCAACTAATTAATTTAGGACTACAGTACAGCATTCATTCCATTATCCTGAGGTGGGCTAGCAATGCTGACTATGTGTTTGCACTTTTAAAGACGGTCTATCCCTCATGCCATTAGGTCCCCCACAGTGGGTGTGGCAGTCCATGGTTAATGTAGTTCATGACGTTGACTACATTAACCACTTACTGGTTATGTTTTCAACTTCTCAACATCATCAAACACTTCTAGTTCAAAACAAGCAACAGTGGGGATAAAAAGACTGCATGTTTCCAGTTAAGATTTGGGTGTAACGTTCACTGTCTTCTCAGTAGTTTCCATATGAATTATCCCACACTTTAAACCTTACAGATTTACTGCTGTATGGTTCGGACATCCCCAGTCGCAGTGTCTGGTGTTAAATTTGCCTTTAATAATGCAGGCGTGAGACATATTAAACACCACAACACACAACTGGCTGTTTCTGTTCTGTTGCCATGTGTCTCAGTGTCAAGGGAAGTAGACTCTGGTTTGCTAAACATTGGAACATCTCTCAACATCTCTTTTCACTGAAAGTCCCGGAATCCATAAATATGCATTTATATGCACAGTAATACCATACAGAGACATTGCACTATAAGGTATGACAGTGTATATACAGGCAGTATGTATAAGGTATGACAGTGTATATACCGTACAGAGGCAGTCTGTATAAGGTATGACAGTGTATATACCGTACAGATGCAGTATGTATAAGGTATGACAGTGTATATACCGTACAGAGGCAGTCTGTATAAGGTATGACAGTGTATATACCGTACAGAGGTAGTATGTATAAGGTATGACAGTGTATATACCGTACAGAGGCAGTCTGTATAAGGTATGACAGTGTATATACCGTACAGAAGCAGTCTGTATAAGGTATGACAGTGTATATACCGTACAGAGGCAGTCTGTATAAGGTATGACAGTGTATATACCGTACAGAGGCAGTATGTATAAGGTATGACAGTGTATATACCGTACAGAGGCAGTATGTATAAGGTATGACAGTGTATATACCATACAGAGGCAGTATGTATAAGGTATGACAGTGTATATACCGTACAGAGGCAGTATGTATAAGGTATGACAGTGTATATACCGTACAGAGGCAGTATGTATAAGGTATGACAGTGTATATACCGTACAGAGGCAGTCTGTATAAGGTATGACAGTGTATATACCGTACAGAGGCAGTATGTATAAGGTATGACAGTGTATATACCGTACAGAGGCAGTATGTATAAGGTATGACAGTGTATATACCGTATAGGTACGATTTTGGATTCAGGATCAAGGGCGTTTGATGCTATTTCCTACTTCACAGCAACAACAAAACAAACAATATATATATATATATATATATATATATATATATATATGATGCCTTCTTGAACATATGAACTTTCATATGCCTTAATTACAAAGTTGTATGGGTCCGTAAATATGAATAAAACATTTAAATTATGAGCCTAGTTTAGCCAAGGAGAAACCACTGAGCTATATAGGGAGAACGTTAGGATCCATGATTGGCTAAGATAATAGATGGGGGTGGATAATAGACAGACTTCTTTCTGGAGGACAATGCCATGCTGACTCATGAGTTTAAATGTGAATTTTTAAAGGCTTTAGAGGCCGTTAACAATGTTGAATGGGCGTAAACAAAGAAGAGCTCTCTAGGAAGTGTGAAAAACATTCAAGGTCTTTTTTCTCCTACTTATCTCCAAGTGGGATAACAAGTTGATCAAATTTCAAAGAAGCAGAACTTTCTCATGTTTACCCCAACTGCAGTGTATGATATACAATTTTGAAGCTATGTGTCTGAACTTTTATAACATATATTAAAATAATGATCATTTGATATAATATCAACTTCCTGAATTCAGTCACAAATTTGTGTTTGTGTACTTTGCATTATTGAACTGTGAGCAGAACATGGTGAGGTGCAGGTGGGGGGGTGCTGCTCCCTGGCTGACACCATAATGGAGTAACTACATGTGTTCCTCAGCTGGCCTTCATCACAGTGCATTAAGATCAACACTACTACATGTTACACCCTAATGGTATTATCATACTCCTCGTCATCCAAGAGGATTTGACCTGATAATACCACAAGGAAGACACGTGTGATACTTTCCCAGCGTGAGTGGCATGAGGAGTGATGTTAGCGCTCAGAGACAAGTGATGGAGCACGCTGCGACTCACGTTCAATTTGTCAGCAGGCTCAGCGTGAAGGATAAACACAGATAATAAAGTGTATTGGCAGCTCTCATGTTTTCCCTTTATGGAGCCAGAAGCATTTAAAGCTCCCATCACCACATCGTTTCTGGTGTCGTTTTTAGAGCCTTTGTGGAGGGAAGGAGGAATCTGGTCCAACATTGAGCGCCTGGCAGTTTGTCTCTGTTGATCGCTGTGGTTGTCAGGGGAATAACGTTTGGCACCATGCTGCTTGTCAAAGTTACGTAGAGTTACTGTAGCCTTCACTCATTCCTATTTACAGACCATGAAATATGTTATAAACAGGCAACAAACAAGTTAGAATCCAGTAAATATTTTGAGAGGAAATGCCTCGCCGCATGCATTTACTTGCTAAATTGGTACATTGCCACCTCTTTCCATCACCAGGTGTGTAGAAACTCAATACTCCCCCTGACTAGCATCAGTGTAGCTTAGCAGCTTAGCTGTGTATGGTTCCACTGGATGTGCTCATCTTGGTTTTCATTGGATGTACCACTAGCTCCCTACATCCCACATGTTGATCTCTTACCATCCAGCTTGTCCACATAACAGTAGACATCATAGGTCTCTGTGGCCTTCCTGGCTCCATACGTCCTCACCCCAGCCTTCCTCTGCAGGTTGCCATAGCAGCCAGGTCTAGGTCTGGTGATTGGGTATCTACACATGCAAGGAGAAGATAAGATCAGGTAATGTTATTGATCCCCAAAGGGAAAGTTTATTGCATCAGCCAACCTGTACATCATGTCATAAATGAGAGAGCCAGGGAGTCAGAATAGAGCTGGTACTGTCACTGGCTTAAACTCAGTATATATCAGTATACATGCAAATTCAGACCAACAACAACTATGGCAGAGAGGGTAAACTAAACAGTTTTAGACTTCAGGCCCTGTGACAACCAGTTACCAGTAGCCTGTGAGCCAGTCCATTTCTAATTTAGCCAATGACTTCTATTTTGTTTTTGACACAAACAGAATAGAACATTGAAGGTCGTCTCACCTAACTGACAGATCTGCGATCCAGCCTGCATCACATTGGTCAAAGCCGTCGTCATAGGCTGATTTGAGCTGGTCAAGCGTGGCGATGGAGGCTCCTATGGTTTGGCAGGCCTGGACAGCGCTCCTGTAGTTCATGTTGTACCTGCTGTTGCTTGCCCGGTAGTGAAACACAACACCTGGGAACAAACACACACACACATATACACATACACAAACACACATATATATACACACACACACACACACACACACACACACAAAAACAAATTAGGTCCTGTGTAGAAAAGTGCCTTAGCAAACAATGGTTTAATAATCAGTGAGTAAAAAAACTAGGTGTCATGACCCCTGTCTAATAGCACACACGTGTTAAATAAATCAGGGTCTAATATGTTTCTTGTGATGATTTAGCTGAAGATGACTAGAACCCTCTGCAATGACCACAAATGAAGATAACTCTGGATGATTTAGAGACGATATCATGGCCCTGACTTCCCATATTTGTGTCAGTTGACTGACTCTGAAGAAATTAATGATGTCTGTGATTATAATTGCAGCGAGTTGGAGAGATGGGTGGTTATGTCTCCGTGAAAGCCAAAGCGATCCCAAATCAACCCATCCCTGTTTTCAACATGTCCAAAATATGAGTTATGTCTGCCAGATAATCTAACTCCCCAAATAAAGATTGAGAATAGAGGCATGTTAAGTTATTGGGACATCGATATCCTACTACACAAATATTAAGATTTACACCACGGTTGCCATAGCTCTGGAACTGTTCTGCATAATATCCCACTTGGGACATAGACCATAAACACGACAATATTCAACATTGTATGGTGACACCTCATCAGTGACTGATCTTACTGTGTTTGTCTTTTATCAGATCATATCTAGTTTTCCTGGTGAGAAGAGTAACTTTGCATGCCACTGTTTTCAATGAGAAACTGTTGCGATGCAAAACATAGGGAGAAAGACTGTTAAACTAATACCAGATGTACTCCCTTCAAACCAATTATATAATGATTAACGCATGATTGTTGCCTATACTAAATCGATAAAACAAGATGTCTAATTATAAGAGCATGGGGTCATTCAGGTTAAAAGGAGGGGAAACATCAACAGGCACCCAATATCATCAAATGCACACAATACTTAGGCCTATAATGTATCTGAGTAACTCCTCCCAATGTCATAGCCACTCCAGAAGTGATGTGTCCCAAGTGACGATACATATAGAGTTGGGTCCAAATGTATTATCATCCATATGTAGGAATGATCGTCCAAAGATAACTCTGTAGTGAGAATGTGTGTCTCTAGCACAAAATGCAGGAAACCCCTAGTCTACAGTCGACATGTCCTCCCTACTTTCATATTTACTGAATGACACATTGAGGGAAAGTGCTTTGATTTCTTACTAAGACGTCTCCACCACCCCCATTACATTCAAAGGTTGGCTCATCAACTTCATAAGCTTATCAAACGTTTTCTAACATGAACTTGCCAGAGTGTCAATGTGCCTAGCAGATTTTTTCTCCAGCATAAGGGAAGAAGCAGAGAAATTGACTATACAGAAATAAACAGATGACACCAACCGTTGACGTCGAGGTTGACCGTGTCCTGCGTATCCTCGATACCATACATGACCTCGCAGCGGTAGGTGCCTGCGTCACTGGCTCGGAGCTTCACCATGGTCAAAGAGGAATCCCCCACATCCTCTGGGTGGCTGGGCACCGACACGCGGTTTCTGTAGATGGGGCCTATCTTAATGACGCCATTTTGGGCCACGAGCACTGTGGATTCCTGTTCCCCATCCATTTTGGTCCATTTGATGCGCAGGTAGTCGGTGCTGGAGTGGGTTACTGTGCCGTTGGCGTTGAAGGAGGGCATGGCAGTGGGCATGGTGGAGAAGTGGCACGGCAAAACCACCTTCCCCGAGAGGGAGCCACTCACAGGCCTCATCATGGTTAACGTGTTGGAGGCTGGGAAATATTTAAAAAAAGACTAGGTAAAGCAGCTGAAATAGATAAATGACTGAACAATGGCATGTTTTTTCACAATCAAGGGAATCAGAGAATAACAATGTTAGCTCTGGCGCAGTATCAGTATGGGTGATAAAAGGACAACAACAACAAAAACAACAAGAAACAATACATTGATTCAAGGTTGTCTCCTTAGACCACACTACCAAAGCTTTTCCTCTAGCTTTAAACATGGGCATCTGTTTATGTCGTCTGTGAAAAGGTCTTAATAAAAAGTTAAACCTTTTATTCAAAGTTCAAACACTCTGTAAAGACTTCTAATTAGTCAAGTGTATTGCTAGTTTGCTATGAACCTCTTATTCAAAAACACACACGGAGGGTGTAACATTAACTCCCAGACAACTAAAGGACATGCATCATAGCACCAAACTGGCCCTTGGAAAGTCAATCCTCATCCTCAAAATGATGGGTGGGGAGACTCCCAGTGATATATACAGAATGTGATGTATATAAATGTGTATGATATAAAATAGTCAAAGAGCAAAAAAGCCTTAAAAGTTGTTCCACTACTATACTCCTTGTCATGAACCATAAGACCAACTGACTCACTGTTCTTCCAGGCTATCAGCTAATTGGCTGGTTTCCCAGACATAGATTTAGCCTAGTTTTGGACTAAGGAGCACGTTCAATGGAGAATCTCCATTGACATGCTTTTTAGTCCAGGATTAGGCTTAATCTGTGTCTGGGAAACCCTATAATCTACAAATGATACTTAAAATGCGATGTCAAGTCATAGATTAACAGAGTTTTCAAGTCATCACAGTAAAAGCTCTTATTTGGTCCACATATCTTAAAACATCTTGTTACTCTCTCTCTATGAAGGCCTACAAAGCAACAAAAAAATAATGCTATGTGGCACAGCTACAGTATGACAAAGCGATGACAGCTTATGAGCATCTCATCTGGTCTTTCTAAACAACTCAGACTTGCTGGCAGCAGGTCGGACAGGCAAACAGTCCTCTGGAGCAAGGTTATTCACAATTTCCTCAACTATTCCTTTTTATAAAGTAATCAACACAGAGTAACTCCCAGTCTCTGTTTATGTTCCGGTTAGAGCCACACCACACACAGTGCACATCCTCACGATGCCAGATGCAATGCCATGGCAACGGGCTAAATCACCCTTGGCCACCGGCACGGGATTATCACATTGGAGGGAATCAATGAACGCTCTGAGAAATGATGTGCAGAATGCTTTGGAAGCGGTGTGGGACAGCCGTGAGCTAGGGCTCTAAACAGAGGACCTTACTAGGGCTGAGAGGTGAAACCAGCTGTTTTACCTGAATCCAGACTGGGACCTGGGCCTAATTGAAAGGTATCCTGTCTGTACAGGGCCAAGGACCTGAGGATCTAGCTGCCCACTGCTGCCCAGCATAGGGCTGACCTTACTCTGTATGCAGGGCTCACAGGCATGGACTTGGTGTTGTTTGTGTTTTATTTGATTTGATTGGGGTGAAACCTCATTGCTGTGAGACATGGAGTTATAACAGTAATGATTACTGTAAACCAGTAAAGAACAAATTATATTTTCACATACACCGGACAGATGCAGTGAAATGTGTTGTTTTAAACTGTCAGCCATAGTAGTACAGCACCCCTGGAGCAGATTAGAGTTAAGTGCCTTGCTCATTGGCACATCAACAGATTTTTCACCTTCTCGGCTCAGGTTTTTGAACCAGCAACCTTTCGGTTACTGGCCCAACGCTCTAACCGCTAGACTATCTCCTGCCCAAAACACAATAGTTTGCAATTGACTCAAGGCCAAAAAGTGTGTTTGACCAGTTGCCTCCCTGAATTGTGCTGAAATACATGCATAGGTGGTCCCACAAAATAAGTGACCTTTGCATCCCTTTGATATTTATATAAGTAGAAATTGTGCACCAATATTGAATTTTAAAAGCCTGTTATATTAAATGAAGTGCCCTTTAATATAGAACACATGGAAAATTCAATAAAGGTTTGCTAAAGTGCTAAAATTCAGCAGTTTGACATGTCCCTCTGTCAAAACCTGTGTCACTTCTAGGAAGATTTTAACCCACTTAATTCCTACATTTCTCCGTTTCACTATCACTGTGAAGCCCTGGTTATTTTGTTGCTTTGACAATGTCATTTCTGAAGATTATTATTTATTTAATGTGATTAGTGATTCATTTACGCCTGTCCCTCATTTTAAGGTCAACCATGTTGCGTGAACTGAACTCTCACTTTAATATGGTGAAACTATTCCTTTTTAAATATGTTTTTTCAAAAGAAACATTGAACATCAAATAGTCAATAACAACTTCATTTTTTTTTGTGAAGCTTGCATTCAATTGCCACTCTCTGTTGGACACAACAAGCTTTCATTCCCCCTTTCAGAAGTGGTTGATTTAAGAAGAAATGGTCAACCCTGTTACAGTCAACTCTGTTACCTTATTTGGCACTTAATAGGCACTTACTATAGTCATTTGTTTCATTTAACCTCTTGAGATGGTAAAATTTGTTTTTTATGAAGTTGAACATGTGCGCTTTATGGCAGAATATTAAAATTAGGTAGTAGTAGTAGTAGTAGTAGTAGTAGTAGTAGTAGTAGTAGTAGTAGTAGTAGTAGTAGTAGTAGTAGTAGGAGTAGTAGGAGTGGTAGTAGGCAACACTTACCAAACCCAGATGCACTTTGACACAGGCAGTATAACCACAGGATATGTTTTACATTCAGTATCATCTTGAACCTAAAGGTGGGAAGGAAACACAATGAATTAACTGATTGTTATGAGACACACCAGCCTTCTGTTATGAGGTCTAGCAAGATACAAATTCCTCATTCATTCCAGTGATGCGTGACATGACAGCACGTTCAAAAGTGAGCGATAGTGGTGGACCAATAAAATTAGGTTATTGTTACTGGCGAACTCTAACAGTACGATAAAATAATATAATCCCGATAGCGGTTAATTGGGGTGTTTCTGAGGTGTCATTCTACAGCCCAGAACGAGTGTCCAGCGGCTCTCTGTTGCTTAGTATCATGCCCCGGTGGTCACTAAGGACAATTTGTCCATCTGGTCACTTCCTCCGAATGTGGGTGGTGGGATTGAGGACCCCATGGAGGTAGCCTCCTGTGGGGTCAAGTCACAAATGTGTGGGGAAAAGGGGGGACGCTCAACAGACTGGCTGTGAGTGGCCTCATTTAATTTGCACCGCGGCTATGTAAACACGAGTGACAGGTAAATCAGTTGAAACTGTTACATTATAGCCCCTCGGTCGGCTGGCCACGCTTCCCGACGTCAAATTAAAAGGTAACAAATGTATTTGATAGCACTCGGTTATTTGCGTTGATTGTAGGAGAGAGTTCAGGGCGGGTAGGCTGTGTGACATGTTATATCGTAATACAAGTCTACAGGGGCTAGAGGGGCTAGAGGGGCTGGGTTGGCTGGCTGGCTGTCCTGATTCAATGCACTCCACCCTGAGAACAGTAATTCAAAGAAAAACGAACCTCTGGCGGCCGGTTACTTTTTCTCCCTCTTTTTTTTTTTTTTGTTGAGGGGAGGGGGTAGTCGATGAGTTTCCAATTCACATTGCCCATATATTAATCTGTAACCTGTCTGTTTGATGCACTTGTCCCGCGTTCTGTCATATCTTTCTCTCTCATTAACCTCGTTTCCAGGCTCAATTGCTAGAGAGCCGGCTGGGTGCACGAGATTACTCTCTCATCGACCAGTAAGTGTCTAAAGCGCCTCAAACTCAATTTGGCTAGCCTGCCCTATACCACTGGTTAGGCTAACATCGATAACCAATGGCACACAAATAGGCTTACAATAGCCTAGTGTTTGTAATGCGTTCTCGAGTTGTCCATAAAAGCGCATAGCCAGAAATGTAGACTATACAATTATTTAAATCCTCAAGCAGTTTCGTAGTGTTTTGGGAAATTAAATGCAGTCACGCCCGGTGATCGATGAAGATCATCGCGTCAGCATCACTCTACGGGTGTAAATGTCACATACCTTTAATCAGGACTTGATATGACCCATATCCTTAAAATATAAACTTTGAGAAAGGTGGTGCATAACTGAGTGAAACGGGTTCACCTGTCAGGCTACAAACCTCAACCGTCGTCTACAGAAGAAGAAAAAACATTTGATGTCCAACAAGTGTGGACCAAATGTGAACTGTGGGTTACACAGACCGGGTATTTAAGGACATTTACATTACATTTACATTACATTTTAGTTATTTAGCAGACGCTCTTATCCAGAGCGACTTACAGTTAGTGAATACATATTTTTTTATACTGGTCCCCCCGTGGGAATAGGACAATACAACGTAACCTAAAACTATGCACGCACTGAACTGTTTGTCCAATGAGGCCATCATCCGCAAAGGATGCTCAAATAAAAAGTAAAAAAGTCGCTCTAAGTAATTATTGTATCCCTGCTCCAAGAAAATATATAGGCCAATAGAGACATCAAATATGATAAGCCTTTTTATAAGACATTATAAAGGCTCATACATGCTTAAAACAAGTTATAAAGCATTATACCTGGATGCTTTAAGTAAAGGCTTACCATTATAGCCTAATAAAATAATAACAATAAACTTTACCTTAAACAAGGTTTTATTTCCATGAAATATAGAATTAAAATCAGTTTATATCCTTAAAATTCCAGTTACTCCCAGTATAGTCATGCGTAAAAAGTGCCCAAAAATATTTTCTCCGAAAATCGGGCGCTAATCACTTATTTTCCGGGTGCGCAGTTCCTCTCCAATCACTGCTCCTGTGGTGCGGTGTCCCACTCCAGTATGTTGCTTGTTCTGATCCGGGCAAGAGCAACCAAGAAGTGATAGCCGGCTGCAAGTTCAAATTCGCTTTACACCCACTGTTATTTCGTCACTGTTGAAGAGGAGGGGCCCACTGCCCAAAAAGTGAGTGGACACCTTTGGGAGGGAGAA